CCCCCCCCCCCCCCCCCCCCCCCCCCCCCGTAGCTCTCGATGGAAGCTCTGAAGCCGGGAGTCCATTGGGATGCCATCCAACTGCTCTGCCACCGCACCCTCGTGCGCGGGTTCCAGCGACTTGGCATCTTCAAGGCACCAAACTCGCCGAACTCGGGATCATGGAATGCGGAGGAGGCCGTCCTTGCGAGCGGCGTCAGCAGTGCATTCTTCCCGCACGGACTAGGGCACTCGTTAGGACTCGACGTCCACGACGTCCCCAGCGCAAGCAAGCCTGAACAGAATAATACGATCGGAAAGGGCATCGAGCTCGGGCACGAGTCGTTCTACACATACCTTCGTCTGCGGCTACCGCTGGAAGAGGGCATGGTTGTGGTAAGTAAGGGATGTATGAATTGGGACGTCGGTACTTATCGGACTTTGCAGACGGTAGAACCGGGGATCTATTTCTCGCCGCATCTCCTAGCCCCTGTTCGCGATTCCCAACACGTCGACCACGACGTGCTCAAGAGGTATGAGAGTGTCGGTGGCGTGCGCATCGAAGACGTCGTCGTAATCACCAAGGATGGCTACGAAAACCTGACTACGGTCAGGAGCGACACTGACTGGATTGAGGCGGTCTGCTCGGGTGAGATATGAGGACTTTGCCACAACAGTTACAAAAGGCGTGTACTGAGTCGTGTACTAAGCCTTTACTGTATTTGTTTACTTGGTATACCTATCATTGTATCAGAGAGCTATGGAGGAGCGAAGGCTCGCTGAGGGCGGTACCCGTTCTGCCATTCCTTCACCCTCAACATTCGGGAATGGGTCAAGGATCGTAATGAGCCCGGAATTCGTCTTATACAAACATGCTCCCGATTCAGGAGGTACAGTAACACTAGCCTCAGAGACTAGGCGAGTGACTACTGTCGTAATACATCGACGAGATACAGCGATAATTGACCCTGAGCTGCTTTCATCGGTGGTGCAGTAGGAATGGAGGCCAAATACAGCGCACTGCCTTGTAGAAGACTGATTGGTGAATCTGAAAGAAGGCTCGGATGTCATGTACCAGCTCATGGTCTTGTGCGGGGAGCACTCACCAGCACATTGCGGGAACGAAATCCAACGAAAACAAACAGAAGTCGAGCCGCGACGAAGATGGAATATAGCAGTCATTAGTGCAACAGACGATGAGAGAACGTCTACTCTTCCCCACATCAACAAGGTCATAATCTATAAGACTGCTTACGAGAGACAACAAATCGCCGCACCCGTGATCAATAGTAGTCGCTCTACATAAAACATTGTCAAACTAATAGTACATTTATAAATATTTGCAGCACAAAGTCCTAGAACTTGCACCAAATCTTAGGAGCGCCATTAAACCGCGCAGCAACTTCGAAGAGAGCCGAGGCAATCAACATGCACCCGACGTATACCTGCAGGCCCAGGTAGCTTCCGTGGTCCTGCTTCAAAATTTCTGAAAAGGAGTGTCAAACCTTAAGCCTACATGATTGAACGTAACTTGACAATTCCTACCACCAGCGATAGAAGGTCCCGTCAGAATTCCGGGGACCATGCCCATCCTATCATTGGGGTTACTCGTGGCGCTTCTCAAATAACTGGAACACACGTACGTGAACATGACTATGCGAGTCCCGGCTTTCCCCGGATCTGTCGTCGTCTGCGCCGCTGCGCTCGCAGCGACCGAAGAATACGCAGCTGCGAATGAGCAGAACGAGCACTTAGTTGCGTACCCATAGCTTGAGTGTGTAATTAGTACCGGACGTAAACCCAAATCTATAGATAGGGTCAGCGTGTCCACTCGCAGCATATACCTAATTTACTTACATGATGCAGAACACGATCGTTTCGGCTGTGCGCTGGGATGTTGTCCAGATGGCAAGCGACGCGACAGCCGACAAGAGCAGTACGGATGTGGATATATTGAAACGGCCGAGCTGATATAAATTCAGACGGTTGGACGATCATGCCAGTGGGACGTGTATACGGCCTCGAGCAGTAGCCGTTACCTTGTCAGCGGCATATCCTGTCACAAGACGGCCAGCAAAGCCAGCGGCATTCAAGACAGCTATAGTGTAGAAGGATAGACTGGAGCCCAAGCCTATGGTGAGAGCGAATGGCTCCATGTACAAGAATGGGGTGTATAGGGCTGGGGGCACGTCAGCGCGACCAAATATAGGATCAATGAGTACTAAGAGACTTGCCAAATGAAGCTAGAAACCCGCTGGCGAAGTGCAGTAGAAATGTAACGTCACGCAAAGCATCGAAGTCGACTAGCGGGAGGCCACCATGACGGGGAAGGCGTTCCTTAACGAGGGGGATCGCCAGTAGCTGGAGTCCTAAATTAAGGAACGCCATAACGCGGACAGCCCAAGGAAATCCAATGGAGTCGAACAACCTTGGAAGCATGATGGAATAGACGACGCCGGCCAAGCTCGACCCACTAAATACCTTTTCAAAACAGGTGAGAAACATCGCATATTGAAGTGGGTGGACGTACAATTCCAATGGCTATCGTTCTTCGACGATTAAACCAATGAGTGGGAACGGTCGCCTAGGTTCAATAGTCAATGTAATATATGCAGGTCGAATAGGTCGAATAATACTATTGGGTAAAATCTGGAGGAGCAGTGTCAACGGTCTGTTCCAGGGTGGAAGACATCAAGCATACTGTAGTGCCATGCCTATGCCCAAGCCGATTCCTTGCGCGAGCAGGACTTCGACATAAGTCTTTGCTAGTGACGTCATTATCAAGCAGAAAGTTGACAATACGCAGCCGGCGACAAGTAACGTCTGTCAGGCGGCTTCCGTTGAGCCAAATTATACATAAATGCGCCCAAATACATACACACGTACCCTTGCTCCGTGGACATCGAACACTCGGCTACACAGATTGCTCACCGTGTAGATGGTTGCGATCTGTGTGCTTCCAATCCAACTAAGGGCGAAAGCGGAATACGTGGGCAGTAACTGAGTGGAGTAGTAGGTCTGAAACACGCCAAATATATTGGCTTGACCTGAGAAAAGTGCACAAAAAGTGCACAATACTTTCAGCGCCGTGCGTTGATTGGTAGAAGGCATGTTTATACCGAATGAAGAGAATGCGAGCACAAAACACCCTATTACATTGCCCCAGCCAGCTAAACCACCATCAGGGAACGTCACCTGAAGGACATTCGAGTAAGCGTTCATTGTTCGATTGAGCATTTTGTATCACTCGGAAGCCCACCTCGACGCCCTCCTCGTTCATGAAGGCATCGTCACCAACTTTGGTGTCTACGCCAACACATTCAAATTTGAGGTCTTCATTGGGCTCTGTATTGGACATGGTCCTTAACGAGTGTGTTGCTCAGTTGATCTTCGCCGACGACGTTGAGATGAAAGGTAGGAAATAAGATATCGACTGGACGTGACGTGAAGGAGTGCTTAAAGTAGTGTTAGTACAACCCACGGTATCCGCGGTGACTGAGGGCATCCCGCCACGGTAATGATCATGGCTCTTGCATCGCTACATGTGGAATGCTCGAGACGAGCATATTTGTTGTTTATACATACCGAACTTCTGCCGCAAGCTCCGAGGAGCTGCAATTTCCATATGGAGAGGCGAATAGCCATTTCTAGCCTCTAATCGCGTCGCGCATCGTGCTGCCCAACTAGCTGTCTAGCTTCTGAGCAGCAGGACGACGGTAAACCATGATGTATAATCGGGGGATTGCCACAACCGAAGCGATTGCTCCGCGCGGCGGGAAATCGAGCTCTGCATGGACTGCCAGTGTTGGGCAGACTGTCAATGTTTTAGCTTCCATGACTGGACTTCGGGTATTGGTCGTGGTATCGCACCAGCAATGTTGCTAATGTGACAGATACGAAATTGTAATCACTGCAACACATCACTGGTGCTAGTCTCCTGAGAGTAAAGTAGTACCTCTTTGCAACTTCCAAAGGCTTAGTATTCGTGTCTGATACTTCTCTTGGCGAATGAGTAAACACAAGTCGTGCTCAATAGCGGTTAGGTCAGATATCTTTGCGAGAACGGTGCGATCATATTCCACATATCAGAGCAAAGCAGCTAAATCGATTATGATGAAGGCAGAATGTAACTGTTGTTTGTAGGGAATGATCGACCTATAAATGGAATCATGTGGCGAGCACGAATCACGTGCCTCCGGTGCGCCCCCTGGAGAACGGTCGAGTCGAACGCGACCACTCCTCACACTCAATCAGCCTTACTTCTTACTTCAACTTTGGCACGCAAGTCTCAAAAGTCTCTGCAGTGTCTTAGAGGTCAAGTTTTCTCTTTTCCGTCTGACGACGACCATCCAGCACACACGGATCCTCTTGCACGATGACAGAGTTGCAAACGCGGCCTCATATCGCAATTCAACCCAGGACGGTTCCCATTCCTGCTCCTCAACCCGCGCACCCGGGTATGTCTGTTCATTTCCGTTTGCCATGGGGGGAACCATCGTTGACAAATATGAAGCCTATTACAACAACATTCGGCAGTGGTCCAACTCAGTCACGCCTCCCCCTACGAATGGCAGGACGAATCCCTCACGCGCTCGCCCTCGACCTACTCGAGGAAGCACGCTTGTAACATCCCAGACGCCTGCCAGCCCATCTCCATACGCTCAGCCGGCAGCATTACCTGCAGCCCCATCGTACCCGATGGCGTTGGCCCCTCCACCATATCCACAGCAGTCTACCAGTATCCCTGCTCGGCCACAAGCCCTGCATTCCACCTATGCCTCACGTCTGCGCACGGGGACGACCCTGCTTATGCAGCCGATTTTGGCATCCTCGTCCGCCATTGCCGTCACGACGCGCTCCTCTCGGCGGGGTGGCGCCGTGAACTACGCGGAACCAGCGTCTGGCGACGAGTTCCCGGACGCCGGAGCTATTGATTCTGAAGACTCGGACTTTGTGGCGAGCGGAGGAACGCGGTCTGCGGTACGTTCAGCGCGGCTTTCGAGCAAGGCACCTATAGGGGCATCCGTGTTCCACGCTGGAAATGCGACACCGGTAGCACAGCCAGCGCAGGCACAGCAGCGAAATGAGCTGGACCAGAGTTACCTGGGTATGATACCGCCGTCACGTTTTATAACTGCAAGGCCTGTCGCGCCCACAAAACACGAGTACTTGTGAGTGTTCTTATCCACCGTGAGAGTTGCGGCGTTGTGACTAGACGTGGGACAGCCCGCCTGAGGCCATGGAAGTGCAGGCACGCAGACCGACATCGCTAGTACCCATACGTGTCGAGTTTGAGACGGACACTCTCAGAATACGGGACTGCTTCGTATGGAACCTACACGAAGACCTGATCAAACCGGAGTCGTTTGCACGAGCATTCTGTGTCGACCTGGACCTACCGGTAAACCCTTGGGCGGAGACGGTTGCCAACCAAATCAGGGCGCAGCTGGAAGAGCACGAAGGGGTTGCAGCGGTCGACTTTGGTGTGCCCGACCCAGAAATGGAGGAGAAGCTTCGAGCGGGCGAGGAAATGGGCGAGTGCCGGGTGATTCTGAGTGTGCGTATGCCAACTGCTGGAGACATCCGTGCTTGCGCTGAATTCGGGCCGTGCAGATCGACGTGCAGATCGCTACATACCACCTGTGTGACACGATTGAGTGGGATCTACTGTCGTCGCTCACGCCCGAGGCCTTCGCGAGCAAGCTTTGCTCCGAGCTGGGGCTGTCGGGCGAGGCGGTGCCGCTGGTCGCGCACGCGATGCACGAAGAGATCGTGAAGCACAAGCGTGACGCGCTCGAGTGGGGTGTGATCGGCGGCGACGCGCGCGAGGCGGACGACGAGCGGCCGCGCGACAAAAGCGGGCTGAGTCTGCTGAAGGACAAGACGGGGCTGGGGCTGGGGTGGGGCCGTGCGCCGAAGGACGGGCGCGGGCCGAAGCCGCTCAGGAGCGTATGGCGCGACTGGGCGGAGGCGGAGGAGTTCACGACGCGCTTCGAGGTGCTGACCGCGGAGGAGGTCGAGCGGAGAGAGGTCGAGCGCGAGCGCGCGAGTCGGTGCGTATACGTTGGCTTGCAACCTGTGCGGACATGGCTGATCGTGTCTGCAGACGATTACGTCGGGAGACATCGAAGTTCCAGTCGCAGACGGCGCGCAGGCGACGATGAGTTGTCACGTTCGTCTATTTCGCCTGTCTGTTTTCGGTGGGGTTTGCTCGCAATCTTGTTATCATGATCCTGCTGGACGCGTATCTTACTACGTTCGTCGATATAATTGTATACGTATGCCGTGCGGCTCCGCGATAATGGCGATTCTAAACGCACACTGCTATACAACGCGCTGTTCTGGGGAACGAAGTCATTTTTGCTCATGATCATTTCAGAGTATCTTCTAAGCCGCGTTGTTGACGGTGGTCGTGCTCACTTACATGTCTGCAGTCATCATATGCAGTATGCCCATGGTGAGATCGCTGCGCTTCCAACCTATTCACCCGAGTATTAAGTCAGTGACAACCAGGTATCTCGGCCATGACCGGACGGCCATTCTCGCCTCCCCTGGCTTTCCGTACATTCATTCTGTATTGTTGTTCTCATTGCAACATGGTGCTCAGTCTACGAGAACACATTGCTGTGACGCCTCCACCTATTCCACGCCATTGACCTATGGAACTTAGCCTCTCATGGGCAGAACTGTAGGAGGCTTAGAATATTCGTATCTTATCTGACACGGATGCGGATGCTGAGTGCATGGGTGCCCAAGCCGGGCTGCATTGCATCGGCCATACGTGACCAAGACATGGGAATCCTACAGGAATTATAGAGTACGCGGATATCGCGGCAGAATAACAGAATAACACAACAAGCGATCCCATCCGAAAACAACTAAACGATCTGCGACGATATAGGAGAGCGGCAGCAAGATATAAACAAAGGGAATGGAATTCAACAGAGCCTCCCCGCCTGTGGTAGGACTCTGGTCTCTACGAACACAACACGCGCTCACGCCGCGCCGTCTTCTGACGGCTTGACGTTCAGCGGCGGCACAGGCGGCACCTTGTACTCGCCATACATGGCCTCCACCTGTTTGACGAAGCGCTCCCGCGTACTCGCGCTCTTCTCCTCGTCAAAGAAGCTCTTCCGGCTGTCCTGTTGGCTCCACACGCTCGAGCGATCGCCGCCATCGCTCCCGTCGTACATAGTAGCCGGCCGGGAATCATCCACGTACACCGAGCGGTCGTCGTCCGCGGCCTGGGCTTCCGGCGTCTCGTCCTCGTAGGACTCATCGCCCATGTCCAACTCAGAGACATCGTCGCCGTGCTCGGCCTCGGCCTCGTCCGTGAACGAGGCCTTTCGTGTCCTGCTCGGGCTGCTGAATGCACCAGCATAAGGCCTGTCCAGGGCAGACGCCGAACGCGGTTGCCACCGCACGTCAAGGCGCTCTGGATCGCGCTGGTCGACGTATCCCCCCGCAGACATGGGTTTGGAGATCTCGTACTTGGCGGTCCTCTCTGCCTTCGGGCTTGTAGTAGGAGACATGAGATTCGACAGCTTGCGCACCAGCCCTGAGCCCTCTCCACGCGGGGAGACAGGTCTGACAGGGAAGGGAGATATCCGGCCGCGCTCCATGCCTGGCTGGATAGGCGAAGTCGGGAATGGGGAGACACGTCCACGCTGGGCTGGCGGGATCGGCTCCGAGATCACAGGCACTGAGGCGTATGCGCCCGTGGGATTCATGACGTCGGACTCGGAAGCTGAGCGCACTGCGTGCGTCGGAGCTGAGACCGGTGGCGCGGGTAACTTTCGCGTAGGAGGCGGCCCGGCAGGTGGGGGGGAAGGAAGGGGGCGCGACGGAGCACCACGTACATCTGCACCATCCGCCGACATAGACCGCGGAGGGACAAGATGCTGTGCAGAACGAGGGCTATTCGGCGCTGGTGGCACGTCGGGGAGCGGACCTTGCGGAGGAGGCGTAGGCGGAGGAATACCATAGTAGGCCAAGATGTGCGGTCTCAGGGACGTCTGGCCCGCAGATGGGCTTGGAGGAATGCCGAATGACTTCTTTGATGGTGAAGGTACAATGGCCCCGGAGTCGGGTCGCGCGGGACTCATTTGCGGCGATGTAGCATCTAACGCGCCATTGTTGGTGGGCGTCATCTGCGGTGTCACAATAATGTATTCCCCCTCGGCCGTGCGTGAAGTGAATTGTTGCGCGGCATATGAGTGGATGGAGGTAGGAGAGTTCAGCACCAGTGGCGCAGGTACATGTTTCGCTGCGAGCAAACTCGTGTTGGGAGGGGAGATGGTCGGGCGTGGGCCCTTATTCCTCGGAGTCGAACCTTTTGGAACATCCTGCAGCCCCGGCGAGGCTGATGGTGTCAACTGCGCATATAGTCGTTCTGCTGTGGTACCAGTCACCTTCGGGGGACTCGGCGAGGGTGGCATTGGCGCCATATTGCCGAACGTCGCAAGTGCATCAATACTGGGTCGATGTACGGAATGTGCATCACGGAACGCTCTGGTGAGGCCTTCGCGAGACATAATCGATCCTGCCTCGCGCTCGGTCGGCGTGACAGAAACCACACTCTCGCGATCTGCAACCGACGATAGCATTGACACAGGTGTTGCCGTACGCAACGAACCCTCCGCAGCATTCGGCGTCGGGCTGCGCAGAAAGCGCTCTGCGATGGGGAGCATGGCCGAGGGAAGTGTGGGCACAGGCGGTACTTCTCGTAACGGCGAGTCCTCCAAGTCCCGCTTCTTGCGTGACCGTGTATTGAGGCGGAAGAAGCCCTTGCGTTTGGTGGACGCCTCGGACAAATTCCCGCCGTCCGACTCGTCCGCCGTAGACGACATGATCGAGCCCTTGCGCGACCGCTGCTCCTTTGAGCGCCGCGCGCGGCCAGCGTCACCGTCGGTCTCGTAGTCCGTCGCAGGAGAGTCAGCATCCCTCGCCTTGGACTTCTTCTCCTTCTTCAGCTTCTTCGATGCTTTACGCGCAGCCTCTGACAAGTATCCGCCATCGCTCTCATAGTCCGTGGCATCCTCATTGCCCTTGTCTTTCTTGGCCTTCTTCTTTTTCTCCTTGTCCTTCTTGCTCTTGCCCCCATCACTCAGATAGCCGCCGTCACTGTCATTGCCATTGCGGCGCAGCCGGAGAAACCTGCTGCTCTTGGGGCTCGGGGGTGTGGGCGATACAACCCGGGGCTCGCGGTGAGAGCTGAGGTCGAAGACGATCCTCTGAGAACTCTCGCTGGAGCTTTTGCCAGGCGATGGTCTCTGGGGCAACAGGCCGAGTCCAGCTGCGTTGGACGAGACCGGTGAAAGTAGAATCCCAGCACCGGGCTGGGCCTTTGAGGGAGAATTGGACAAGAATGAATCATCCGAAGTTGCAGTCGATGCGTAGGTTAGACTCGGGGACACGGTGTCCTGCGGTAGCAACTGAACACGCGGAGAAGGCACGCAAGCGCACGATACTCACCTCGACGTCCGCTTCGGCATCCTCATCGCCCTCCTCGACGGGGCTGAACATCCACTTTGTGACGGTGCAGCTACTGCCTACGCCGAGTTGCATGGCGCTCTCGAGAATGGACGCTCGCAGGACCGAGTCGCGGCTGTCCGTTGCGCGTTCGCGCGGGGGTCGGGGTGTAGGCGTCGACATTGTTCAAAACTTGGCATATATGTCTCTGTAGTATGATCGACTTTGAGGATATGGATTGGAGTAGAGTGGAGAACGCGATGCAACCGCTCTATATCAACGCGAAAAGCTGAGACGGAGTGAAAGAATGCTCAGAGGCCCGGCATCAAGGGGGTTGTTGAAGGAGTGAATGAACGGGAACAAGATGGTCGAGACCTATCGAGAAGCACACAATGCTAGGAACCAGACTCTGGGTTCTAATAACCATTATTACTTGGTTGACCCGAGATTAGGCGTTAATGATATTAGATAAGATGCCTTATAGGTCAATCAGCTGGTCTGCACGGGTGTTCGATCTTCAAGGCAAGTACTCACCAGCAGCCATGACAAGATATACAAATTTCGCCAGGAAACGCACCTACCTCGATGCTGAACTCAACTACAGGGATGACGGGAACACCACAGCAGACGCTCTCCACGACAATGCGCCCATGGCGGAGCCCGCAGAAGGCGATTCATCTGGCTCACAACCAGCGAAAAAGCGGAAGCGAAATCGCCCAGAGAAAAGGAATGAGGCGGCCAACGACACGACTGTCCTATCAGTGCAAGATGCAGTGAGCGAGCGTTCGTCGGGCCCGAGGGAAGGAGAAGGAGAAGGAGACGACGGAAATGAAGCGGGCTCATCAAAGGCTGCAAGTGAGAAGCGAAAAACTGCGGCGAAGGGAGAAAGGCAGCGACGCCAAAAGCATCAAAAAGGCGAGTCCGCTTACCCTTGTATGGCACCTTGAAGTTGACGAACTTTGGCTGCCTTTAAGATGCACAGTCACGTCAAGAAGCGTCGGAGCGTCGGAGGCTCAAGCGCAAGGACGAGCGTTTCTCAGACACTACCTGCTTCGCCTGCAGAGAGAAGGGACATACTGCCAGGGACTGCACGCGGACAGTGTCTGGGGGCGGCGAAGGCGGCGATACTCAAGGCGAAGCGGGAAACGCAAAAGCCAAGGCTTCCAGGGGGATGGACACCGTCGGCATTTGTTACAGGCGAGTGTCCATGACCATTCCAAGAGTGCTACTACAGACACCAACATGATACCTCACTAGATGCGGCTCGCGCAAGCATACCCTGTCTCGCTGTAGGGAGTTAGCAGACCCCTCAAATCCTTTCCCGTTTGCGTCCTGTTTCGTCTGCTCGGGCAAGGGACACCTCGCGTCAGCGTGCCCGCAGAACCAGGCCAAGGGTGTCTACCCGAACGGCGGGTGCTGTAAGCTCTGCAGAGAGACGACCCACCTGGCCAAGGACTGCTCCCTCAGAAAGCAGGGTGCGCATATTTCCATGTCAAACCCTGCGAAATGCTGTTCGCTGATCGATGCCTTTGCAGAAGTGATCGCTTCCACCGTCTTCCTCGGCACCGGACGTGATGCCGGTGCAGACGAGGACGACTTCCACACGTTCAAGCGGCGCAACGCCGAGGTGGACAAGTCGGAAAAGACAGTCGAGCGCGTGAGGCGGCAAGCCGATGTCAAGATGGGGGCGCATACAGGCATCATCAAGTCGTTTGGCAAAAAAACAGAGACTGCCGCCGCCAAGAAGGTCGTCCACTTCTGAAGTCGCGCATGTAGTCTGAGGATGGAATATGTTCATCTCCAGGTCGTTGCGACTGCTGACAATCTGGAATTTGCTGCCCGACATGCGGGTAATAAATTTTGTACTGCAAGCAATAATTTATCTGGATCGTAGACATTATCCTCTGGTATACAATAAACCACAAGAAAGAAGTTTGTATATGATATAATTTAGTCCAAATAAGCAAGCATGAAGAGTCCTACATCACCACGCAGTTACCAACCTCGATACCCAGCTCTTCCCACTCCTCTTCGGCGACCTCCTTCTCATTCTGCCGTAGCTTCTGTTTAGACTCAACTGGGAACCAGTCTTGCATGAAATTGAGCAGCGCCCAATCAACGTTTGCTGGGATATTCCCGATTAACAATGAGAATGCGCCAAGCCAGCAAACCACTCACAGCGATCTGCAGACAGGACGTTCGGGGCGCGGCACATCGGGCAATGTCCTTGCCCCCTCTTCTGCATCTTCACGAGACATCTGAAGCCGGTCTTAGTAAGGATGAGGGCCGGCTGCGAGGGGGGAAGTATACCTGACACAGAAGAGGTGCCCACAAGACAGGCGAATTGGCTTGAACGCAATATTCGTGCAAATGAGGCAAGCATAGTCGTCAATATGGGGGATGATGGGCAGCAGATTCTCGCCGATAGCCTGGCCCAACAGGAGCGACAAAGACATCGCACTGCTACCTGCCGAAGAATTAGGTTGAGCTAACACTAAGGGCAGGAGTGGCGAAGTAGTGATGTCGTCCGTTCTCCTGGGGGCGATCAAAAATGGGGAACAGATGTCGGGAGCAAGAGGCAGTGCAGTGCGTTTAGCATGTTTCTTGAGAATCTTCCGGGTGGCCTCAGAGGTCGCGAATTGGAACTAACGACTTCGATCAGCAACTGCACAGACGCTATGTGCGGAAGTAACACGCCTTCCTCAAGTCCAGAATGAACGAGTTCAAGTGCAAAAATGTCTGCAATGCCTCTCTGCTCTCCTTCACTTTGAATTCTCTGCTGTCCGCAAGACCCCTGTCTCTCAACCGCTGCAAGAAAAGTTCCAGCCGTTGCTCCGATTCTTCAATTGATCGCTCCCCTCTTGAGGCCTCCTGGTGGCTTTCAAATATGTCTGCGTCCACGTACATCTGGAAGATCTCCCGCCAGGCATACAGGTCAGACTTGTGACTAGAGAAATGCGGCGGCGCATGCACGCTGATGTTGCTGGGGTCCGATGTGTGCGCAGAATGCGGGCGGAAACCTGACGTGGAGGACATTGGACGCGCTGAATGGGCGATGCTGCGAGATAGAGACCGTAATGATGCTTCGAAGTCACTTCGCACCACCGCGAGTTTCGCGTTCAAATACTGCAACGCCTGCGTCAGGAGCTGATAGAATGCAGTGTCGGACACGAGAGGGATGATAATCTCGTGCGTGTCAGGTCTGGGAGGGCAAATGTATGAGCCTATAACCCAGTCCATTAACAGCAGTACGTACGCGACAATCTCCTGGAGTAAAGAGGATAGGGCTGACGGTGTGATGATTTCCTCAACCGAAACGGCAGTACTGTCTTCTCCGGCGCCTTCGCCTGGAGGCAAAGTGACAGCTATAGACTCTTCATCGGTGGCAGCATCGAGTGCGCCTGGAAGGCTTGCCGAACGTGGGGAAGAGGGTGAACCCAGTGCCTCCTGCGATCCAATAAGACGCAAACGAGGCTCGATGTGGTCGGCTACATTGCTGAGTTCATATATCACCTGCGAGAGAAAAGCGGTCAGTAACCAGGTCGTTCGGACGAATAGAACTCCTGTACTTTGACTTCATGGTCATTCACTCTGATGGTCCGAGTGGTAGAGATATCGCCCTGTCCCAGCACTTCCTGCAGCACATCCGGTGAAAGACCTGCGAGCGCATATCAGAATGCGCAGGTGGAATGCGCCCGTGGTAGGCTTACCAATAGAGTTGAGCTCATTCACCACCTTGTTTATCAGCTTTTTCAACTTCCGGTACTCGATCGCGCTATCCCTGAGCTCGACCGGCAGGGTAAGCAGCAGCTGCTGGTATGTCTTGGAGAAATGCATGCATAACGCTGCACGAAAAGCATGTAACAGCAACGAACGCAGACAGTCTCAAGTAAAGGGGCGTATCCCTTCAAGCGTTCGTCCCCCGCAGACTAAATGGGACGCTGACTAAGCAGATCGCTGAGCCACATGGCTATGACATCGTCACATCTTACGACACCCGCTTAAGTCCAAAAACGACTAGAGAACGTTTACTACTCATTTTATTAATGTAACAAACGCGGTCGCTCCTCCAACCGCCAGTCACCCGGTAATAAGAGCCTCCCAGGCACCACCTGTCTGAGCGATCATAGCAGGTCGCTCAGAGCAGCCATCTCGGGTCCACCAGCCTCCTACGATACAAGTAGTCAGTACAAATTCACATGATGTCGACAGGAAACAGGACGCACCCGCATGCCAATCTCCCAGTCTGCGCAAGGGAACGATAGGATGAGCTACCAAAGTAACGGCTGAGAAGACGGCACTTACAGCTGTAGATGATCGTCACGGCCATGAGGATACCCGTGCCGCTGCCAATCGCACCCATTAGGTCAGCCGCGACAGACAGAAGACCGAGGATGGCGCCTCCCAGAGCAGCGGCAGTGGGGACGACGCGCTTTAATTCCTTGTACATCGAGCCTTCACGATGCCCGGCCATGACCTACAAATAAAATTCTATAAGCACACAATGAGGCGTGGAGATAGAAGCACACACCATCTGCTGGTCCTTCAGCTGCTTCGCAATGTCGCGGGGTCCGCTGCCAGAAACTTCAATCCACGTCTTGGAGAAGATGGCGCACGCAGTGCTAATGAACGCGATATAGATCAGAGTGTGGATAGGGTCGAGCAAAGCCGCCTTGAGCGTATGGGGAGGCGACATGTAATACGCGATGCCAGAAACAGCCGCGAGCTGGGGTGAGTCTTCCAATGGCTACGCAAAGGTCTATCAGTTACCAATCGATAATCACATTACGCCCGCATAGCTCACCTCCCAGACACCAAGCAATTTCACAAACAAGTTCTCGGGAAAACGCGATGCGAGCATCTGCGAAATCATGAAAACGTTGGACGTCAGAGCGGATTCCAACATGATGGGCATGTTGGACGTGTAAAACAGTTTGACAGGGTAGGACCCGCGCTGGCCACGGAACCGGTTCGACTTGACAGGGATCTCAATGCGGAAGCCCTGCAGGTATATAACGACTGCAAAGACGACCACCGTCGCGATCAGGTTCATGATGTTCGGCAGACGCTCGCGCCAGAACGCTTCGCGCAGCGCACGCCCCTTGTCGTTCCAAGTGAACAGCAGGTGGAAGAGGGAGACGACCGCGCCTTCAAATTCGGGACCACGCCCGGTGTTCACGGTCGTCGGCGAGAACGCCTTCCACACAATGGACTCGCAGATATTCGTCGCAATGAAGAGCGAGATGCCGGAGCCGAGACCGTACCCCTTCTGGAGCAGCTCGTCGAGGAGGATGACGATGAGCGAGGCTGAGATCAGCTGGATGATCAGCAGGAGGCAGACACCGGCGCCGAGGTCGCGAGGTTGACCGTAGAGACCGGTGAGGACATAGACCGTCGCTTGACCAAGGGAGATGATGAGGGCGAACACTGAACACATGGTTAGTACATATGCGCCGAATGTATGTGAACTCACGCTTCTGAGCCCCGCTGAATAGCACCCGATCGTCCTTCAGTGAGAAGTCGACCTCTATGAGGTTCGCACCGGCCAGCAGCTGCATAATCATCCCACTGGTGACAATGGGCGTGATTCCAAGTTCCATCAGAGTTCCACGATTAGAGGCGAGAATGACGCGCATCCAGTACAGGGGGTCGGACGAGTCAGAGGACATGATCCCGTAGAGTGGGACCTGGGAGCAGACCAGGAAGATGAGGAGCGTGACAGCCGTCCATAGTACTTTTTGGTTGAAGGGGACCTGAAAGCTCGTGTCAGCGCACGAAGCTCGGAGACGCGAGTTGAGGACTTACTTTCCGATCGGGCGAGGAGACCTCTGGCAATATCGGGAGGAACGGCCGGACGAGATTCAAGAATCGAACTAGAGCGTGGTTAGCATGCTCACTTTCTGTAAAAACAGAGTACTTACATGCGGCCATGGCGCGGGTGAAAGGAGTGGTAAGGATCGCTGGGTCGGCTCAGACACGTCGCCACCGAGCTCATGAGGTGGCAGCCAAGCGTGCGCAAACACCATATGCCGCATATGGCATGTGCATGCACAAGCGCCAAAAGCAGCGACAAGTTGCTTGTTTCCCAGCGAGATTTAAGTGGCAAATTCGAACGTACCTACTAACCTGGTGCTTGAGTACTTCGGCTGCCAATTGGTTCAAGCTATGAGAGGAGATAATGGGGGTTTGTGCGAGAGAGGGAAAATGCATTTCTTGACATCGATGTCGGCTTATAAGAGTAGAAGCCCTGACAGGAGTGACATCATACCCTATCTGCGAGGAGTGAATGTCTCACACAACAAGCGATTGAAACCAAGTCCAGAACAGAGCAACACTTTCTACATTAAGATAGAAGCCCCGTCCCGGGTACAGACAAGCTAAGCCCTACGTCTCCAGTCCGAGTCCACAGCCAGCTATTTCTCAGCTTCTCAAGAGCATCGCCTCCGACACATCATATTTACTCACACTTACCGTCGCCCTCGGGAGCGTGATGACGCCGGCACTCCTGATCTACCTACGCTGCTGCTTCCCCTCGCCTTCGATGCCGTCCGCGCAAGCTTTAGAGTCGAACTGAAAGGATACAGGATACAGTTACATCCATCAATCACAGAGGGGAGAGAAAGAAAAAGAATAAAAGAAAGCGAATGTGTTCTTCGAGCCTTAGCGCATCCTTCTCCACCACACTGGATGTCCGCGGATTGTCCTCATCAATGCACGCTAGCGAAAATGATCCACCTGAGTTGCGACATCCTTAATCCCTCGGCCGGGACCCACTTCAAGCACTTATAGCACTTCCCTTGCATAAGCACGGCTTTCTGGTGCTTGCCGACATTGGTGCGAGAAATTGTACAAGCGCAATCTCTATAATGCAGGAGCAGATGCATGATGTGAACGGAACCGTGTAACACAACTGTGATGACCTATAGTGACAAGTACATGCAAAGAGGTCCATGAAAGTATGTATGATAGATATGCATTGAGAACGGAATAAATGAGACTTAAGCGGGCCACTGAGCTCGATATTCCACAGTTTGCCCTGTCTGAGCAATTGCTGGTGTTATGGGGCGATATCTCCCACCATAACAGTCTAAACACGTTGTAGTATCGCTAAATCAATACGGCGAGGTCGACATTAGCTAATTGCGGCATGACAATGAGAAAAACAAACCTGTGCAGGTTCTCGAAACAGCAGTTCCGACACACAATCCTACCACAGCCTGCGGTACAGTCGTCCTTGCCAGTCTTTCCCTCGTTCTCCGGAGTCGGCTTGCCGCCGCCGTCATCCTCGCTGGAAGCGGGCGCCTTTCGCCTCCGACCGGGTGTGAATGGGCCCAGCACAGGTGGCGGAGCGGCCATATTGGCATTGGCCGCATTGGTGGTAAGTGCAAGCACTGTGCGCTTGGGCGAGGACATGGGCGTAGCTGTCGGTGTGGATGACCGCGTCAAGGCAGGGGTGGGCGGGACCGATGGCGGTCCTGCCGTGCACGTCCGCGAGCATATTGTACACGTCGTGGAACGGCATCTATGAAACCGCATTAATACAGGTTTGCACTCACGTAGTTAGATTGCATGAAAAATGGATGGCATTGGGATACCTGGTGCACAAGAGAAGCTGGGAGGTCCGTCCGCCGAAAGCCCGATGACAAGAAGAACAAACGACAGCCTTTGAGTGGCCAGAAAGCTCCTGCCCAGGCGTTGATGGCAAGGTCGTCGGATGAGGCGAGGTTGTAGATTGAGTATCTACCGCAAGTCTTCTGCGTTTATGCGCAGGTTTAGTTGCTACAGACGAGCCCATGGAGTGTTGACCGAAGCTTTCGAACCGGTGACCATATGCAAACTGAAAAAGTGATGGTGCGATCGTAAATGTGTCAATGGTAGGAACAAAAAGGTGAGCGCAGTGTGGCGAGAAACTGGAGGCACGACGTGCAAAATGTTCCCGTCATCAAAAACATTACACTGAGCGGGAGTCGAACCCGCGCCGCTTGCTGATAGATATACTTGGAAGGCAAGCATGATACCGTTTCACCATCAGTGTACACCTAAGTTTGCTTATATATTGAAATTCCCAGCGCGCAGCCCACCCTGCATTGTTCCTTGTCTTGTCGTTCGTTGTGCACTGCACTACGCTTGTAAGTCTGTCAAGATGAAGAACAAGAACAAGACGACCAAATTCCCTGTCGTGCGTCGCACTCAATTTGTGGCTCTTGTGGCGTAAATAGGACATATGCTGAACTCTTCCCACACCAGGCACGCATCAAGCGCATAATGCAGAAGGACGAAGAGGTGGGCAAGGTGGCGCAGGCGACGCCAGTCGTGATATGTAAGTCGTTGATCAGAATACGCGTCATTAAAACCCGCTCAACGTCTCTGCTTGCGTAGCGAAAGCCCTGGAGCTATTCCTGGCCATGATCATCGAAGAGGCGAGCAGAGTGACCACAGAACGCGGCTCCAGGAGGGTCGAGGCGTACCACCTGTACGCATATTCTCTCCATCCTGCGGCCCGTCTTGCGTCATGACGGATTTGTCCTCTGTCCAGGAAGCACGCTGTGGAGACCGTCGACATGCTCGACTTCCTCAAGGAGATTGTGGAGGGAGTGCCCGACCCATCGGCAGGCGGCACAATTGACCTCGAGGCAGAGGCGGGCGAGGGTGGTCGCAAGCGGCGCAGCGGCAAGGGAAAGAAGGTGGCTGAAGCGGACGACGCGGCACCCGCTCTACGCAAGCGGCGAAAGAGAGGCGAGGCGAAGGAGGAAGGGGAGGGACAGCCGCAGGGCCGGCGGCGTTCACGAAAGAAGGAGCCGGAGAAAGATGCTGATCCCCAAGACGACCCCGAAGAGGAGGACGCGGACATGGATGAAGAGGATGTAGGCGACGAGGGCGTTGTGGCCCCGCGCGCCCGGAGGCGAGGTGACGACGACGACGACGACTGGGAAGGATGAGCAGGCGGTGCAGTGCGTGTCGAACTATGTACTATACTGTAAGGATTCTGGTTCAATCGACGTGTACAATCCCCAGCAGAATTTTTGTATATTTGTTAAAAGTACCATATCGTACACGCTGACTACCGTCCTGTCACTGGCAGAGACGGTACATCGACTGCCGTCATATTAGTTCAACTTCGCCTCGTGCTAGTAGCTGCTCGACAACATAGTAGGGTGTGAGCGAAATGCGGCCCTTTTCCATCGCAATTGCTGTTCCGCTATTCGGATAAGACACTCAGTGTGGTCAAGACGTAAGCAAGTAGAGAAGACATACTCAGGCAGACGGACCGGTGGACACTGTTGTCGTGCGTGCACAAACACTGGTCGCATCTTGTCCGGTTCGGGTACTGGCATCAAGGTATGTCAGCGAGTTCTGGTCGAAAGAGCACGGAATCGAGGCATACTCATTGGTGGCATGAAAGGCACACTATCCGTCAGGGATCGTTGTTCAGGGGGAAGGCTTTGTAGAACAGATTGAGTGAGGTGGTATTCTAGTAGTCGTGCATATCTAAAATGGGGAAATAAGAACATTTGACGGCAATGTTAGCAGGAGAACAGACCTCCTGGCGTGGTCTAGTTCAGCTTTAGATAACTTCTCGTGAGATTCAGGCGTTGCGCTGATCCACCGAGCATATTTCTCTATCTGCCGCAGCATACAGTGATAAGCTCAAGTTTGTATCGGGAAGGCTGGCCTGAAACTGACCTTGTGCAGCCGCGTCCGTATATATGAACGGACGACGAATTTGACGCGCTCAACCTCCGTCTGAACTAGCATAATGCGGAAGTGTTCTTCCTCGGACGAGTCTGGGTCGGCACGCAGCAGCTGCACGTCGTCGGACTAGAGCTGAAGGTCTTCAGCATCGGACATAAGGACCGCGCCAAACAAGGACTTCGTGCGCGCGGCCAGAACACGTCCATAAAACACAGAGCGAGTCGCTCACCTGTTTCCGCACATGGTCCAAGATTCTGCCCAGAAGGATCTCCTGGCCGGTCAGAATGTCCGGCGAATGTCTCTCGTTCATCCAGTGCCTGATTAGCTGTTGGAACGGAGTCTCCTCCGCAACTTCCTGAGGCAAGATGTTCGCGTTTGGCTGACCGAACTGGTCCGGGACGGGGAGGTCGTCATCGTCTGGCGCGTACCTGGCGCGGTCAACAAAGGAGGGCCCTGCGTAGGGCGCGTCGAGGTCAGCGTTGAGCCAGCTGTCTGCCATGGAGGTAGTCGTGAATGTAGCTAGGCGCGAGCGCGTTTTTTCCCTTCCTGTTGTTTTGAGATCACAGCGTAGAGACCAGAGTAAGTCGCGATTGTAATTGAAGGAGGATCACAATGGTTAATTAGCAGATACGCGTTCTTGCCTGCCCTGAACGTGCGTTCGCGCCCCTAGGCGCTCATGTGGTATATGCATATACAAACTCAGAATGTTCTTCGGTCGAGGCTATAGCTAAATGTTTTTGTTTTTCAACTCTCTGTCGAGGACGCCCGTAGCTGGATTCTACAGAAGAGGCAGCAAACGGTACGGGTATCAACTTTCAACTTCAACTTGCGAGAATTTGTCCGCTGAGAGACTGTGGGCTATGCTCCTCTAGTGTCGTTGAGCCGGGAATGGCCATCCCAACGGTGTGCAAAGGTTGAGGCGGGCTATGATTCTAAAGGTATCTCACATGCGGGCGTCTGTTTATAGAAAGAAGTGTGATCTATCGCGACTGAATCGCTCGAATGTGCGAGCCGCTCGTTTGAAAAACGTTCCCTAGTTACGAGACTGGGGGGATCGCATGCTGTAGGTCGTCTGTCTCGACGCGGTGATCAATGCTAGAAGACGAGGTCCTGGAAAACCCTTCGGCAAAAGTCTAGATCCTGACTAGTATGTGCCATACACACTACGCATGTTCTATTTTGACAAGGGGCACGGTGTCATTTACGATTTTCGCACACGTCCTCGGTGGGCTGCCTTGACAACCGCCGATATGAATGTGTGTGTTATAGATCCTGATGGGTGCGTGTTTGTCCACGTGAAAGCTTCCTCCCATGACGATCGGTGGCCGATCGTCGCGATCAACGTCGCCAGCCACGAGGATCTAGCGAGGATGGGTGAGCCCGATCCTCATCGCCATGCCTGCGGCTCGCCTGATATGATTAAGCGCAGCGCGCCTTGTACTCGCACTTTTGCCGGCTATCGGTAGACGAGGACCTGTGGGGCTCATTGGGTCCTCTATAGCGCGAAAGGGAGACGTCTCACCGAAGGGACCAGTCTAGATGACTTCCTTGCAGCTGTGAGACTCGTGTGAATGCTGTAGCTCAGTCGTTGTTGTTGTTGTTGCTGGCAACCCTGGGCCGGCGACAATGTAGGCAAAGGTGAATCGAGTGCTCAATTGAGGATTTCAACCGCCAGAAAGCTATAATTACTTAGCTTGACCTGAAAGTCGGGTGCACCCGGGCCGTTGCTAGAACTCATAGAGATCCCTGACTCACCCGCAGGCAATGGAAACGCCTCACAGGGAGGGATCATGAACGGGAACGGCTTGTCTTGATTTGTTATCCATAAGACGGTCGTGGTACCCAGTGCGAGCTTGAGGGGGGCAGAGAAGGCGAGTCAAGGCGAGCCTCGGACGTCATGAAAGAGGGAACTTCCGGGAAGCTCCGCTCTACTGCCTAATTGCTGTTCTAGGGACACGATGCCGAAACGATGCATATTTATCTAACGCCGACTACAGGCCACAAACATGAGTACCAAAAAGAAGGGCAGCTCTAGAATGCATGTCAATGTAGCATGTGTATGCCCACCAGGATGGGACCATGAGTTCCGATACATGGCGGAGCATTGATAGCTGAAGCCGCGTAAATTAAAGCGAAGTCTTCTTTGCAATTAAGAAGGGAACATTATCCCATTAATACGCATATGAGCATGTAATGTTCTCCGATAGATACTACAATTTACCTGACTAACAATGTAGCGGCTATACTACCGCGAAATTGGATCTGTAATACATAAAGCGTCCAGAGATCTTATATTGTGCTGTAGATGACCCACAAGCCGCGGTAAGCGGCAATCCAAGGCTGAGCCCGGGTGACGGCATGCATTGGCATATAGTGTGAATCAGAACCACCGACTAGTGTCGCACTGCCGCAATGCGCTGCACCAAAGTTCCACTTCGAACGTATGCTTTGCCAGAGGTCGTCTGTGGCTATGTTATACGGCGCGGAGCGACCACCAAACCTGTGCAATTGAGAAGTCACACAGCAAGACCATGAGGTTCGTGGAGATGGTACTGTTTTCAGGACTCATCCCTTTCCGTGGCTGATGAATTCGTATGTGGCTGTTAACCGGGACAATTCGTGTATTAGTGAGCTTGAAAATCAAGTTCCGACTCCTCGAACTTACTGCGATCGCGGACATGTGACATGTTGTATATCCGTATTTGGCTATGGCAGTCACCTAGTCTGTCCAGCAGAAGATCTCATTGGGCCGTAAGTGTTACTGTGCGACTACAAAATTAACGTCTCATAGGATGCGTGATGCGTTCGTCAGGGAGATTGAAAGAATGCGCACTACAGACGCCCGGTACCTCTATTGAAATCATGCCGCTCAACGCTGACCTAGAATCCTTTTTGGGGCTTTAGGACAGTGGGCCGCTTTTCGCCCATCCGCGCGGTGATTTGAGACAGTGCTCGGGGTACTCACCCAGCCCCACACATCGCTGTGAGCATATGTCGGCGCCGGCGAATGTGGTACTGCCGTGTGAACAGCATCAAGCCACCATCACCCTCGTGTCAGAGACCTCTGGACTCACAATCATGCTAAGTGATACCATTCGCCTCTTGCACTATTGGATGCGACTCTCCCCGGAATGCTCTGCCCAACAGCGTTGTGAGTCCTCTTGCTCTGTTGCACATGTATCTGTCCATCGACAACCATGCCGTTCTGTGACCTGTGTAACGAGTCCGACGGACGAAGATACAGCCTGCAGGCATGCTTTGCGGGTCCTCGTTCTTAGAGGTGAGACTAACGCGCCGGCCCTGTTGCGTTGTGCCTATTATAACACATTCATGCTTATCATACGTTTGTAGGATGAGCCACGTACTACTGAAGAGCTGACGTGGTCACCCAATAGGCCGCGTCATGGGCAGGCTGCTAAATACCTTGAACGCATTATATTATTGATCTAAATTTACCGACTCACACGGCTGGCGCGACTTCCGCAATTGCGAGTCTCGTCGACTCCGTAGACTTCGGCTCAGTTGTACGTACTGCGATTGGGATCCACTCCGCGATCAGGTGCATGACTCGCGTGTTGGGGATGGTAGTTCAGGACTGACTTGGCGTTCCTCAGCGTTCCCACATGGCATTTGATTTCTGTACACCTGCGTGGGCCCTGCAGGTCTTCTGCGATGCGATGGGCCTCATTGCAACCTCGCGTGCGTGAACAACGTGGGCGCAAGGAGTTGATCATGGTAGTGCCAGATATAATGACCAGCTGGTTCGTCGCAAGTTCGCCCTTCATCAGCGCAAGCCATTGACGTCCAGCACACGTTCCTTATTGTACGTGCCCCAGGAGCTTCATGTGGAGGGTCTCTTACTGAAGTATATCTCTAGGTACTACGCTATTTTATTCTACGATGAAGTAAGCGATGTGGTGTTGATGCGTCGATGCTCGCTGATCTTGTGCCACTAGCCATGCCATCGACGGCTCTCTACTGTTTTCTTCGGCGGACGCGCAAGGTGGCTGGGATCAGAGTGGATTCCAGTCGTCTCAGCCCGCTATATTGTCTCTTGGAATGGCCAATGATGAAAACCTTCGTGACCTGGACATTCTCCGGCTTAGCGAGACGCGGCGTGCGTCTGATATGTACTACCAGTCGGCTAGTGACCCCACCGTCTTCCAACCTCCCCAAGCCCTCATATCTACCTCGCCCAATCATGCCGCTAGTCCCAACAACATCATCGATGTCCCTATGGAAGTCAAGGAGCGATTAGTCGCGATTTTGCGTACCGCCGATCTTTCTGGAGACGATCAACTCCAACGTCTCCTGGCATCTCTCTCATCGCCCCAAACCGTCATGCGTCTTGAGTCAAGGTCCACGGCACAAGTTCGCTCCTTCCCCCATTACGACCCATACCGCCCAGGGCGTCCGTTTCCCTCGAGTTCTCATCGGCAGCCAGTTCTCCCTTCCGATTATCCTCCTGCATCTCACTTTAGACCAAATTTTGGGACTGGGCGTCCTCCGTTCCCTCATACATCGTACTCGGGCCTGAACACCCAGTGTCTTGATGGGGATCAACTTGTTCAAGGCGAAATCGACTCCAACTCGTGGTCAAATCACCCTTTATGTCAAGCTCTCACCCCCACTACGCCGCCTTCTCCCCATTACTTTGCGCTGAATATGGAATCCTCCATCCACAACGCGAGCAGCATTCCCACCGTCATCCCCCTTGAAGGCGTCGCTCAGCTCCCCATCCCATCGCAGATCATCGCCGAGTCCCCACATAATTCCCCCAAACCTCCTGTGTGCTCATGGGACAACTGCGGGCACTCCCTCGCTGATTTTCATAGGTCGGAAGTCAGGAGACATTTTAGGGACTATCACGAAGTCCAGCGTTTCACTCACTGTCGATGGTCGGGATGTGGGATCCCGATCAAAAAAAATGGCATGGTGAAGCACGTCACCAACAAGCATCTGCACATGAGCAGGGTGCGTTGCCCGCAGTGCGCGACCACAGTCAGCCGAGGCGATGCGTTGACACGACATCGATTGTCTTGTCGTGGCAGTGGCAGTCACCTTTTTCCTTGCTGAACAGTACCTCAAAGACATAATGTGCGTAGTGTCGCTTTCGTCAATCTTTACTTGGCTGACTAGAACATAATAGAATGTCACACTTCTTATACCACTGTACAATTGTCGTGGCTGCGCCGTCGACACCCACGGTTTGTATACCTGTTTGAGCGTAGACGTTGCTAATGTCTTGATGCATGGGGCACATTGGACTCATGAGATACCTGGTGCTGGTGTGAGATATGGATTCTTCTTATATGCCTTGCGCCTGAGATGCCCCTCACTTAAGTAGCCTACATTAGTTGGATATCTTTACGATTTACTCATTCCATGTTAAATATCGTCTAACAGGTCCTCGATCTGTATGCCCGCGCCATGTCTCTATGAAAACTACGACTAGGACACTCATATATGCGAATGTTATATGATGGCCGCTATGATATGCTTTCTTATGACGTCTCTATCTTCAATATATGTTCTACCCACGAGTAGCGAGATGAGTGTGGGTATTGGTGATTGCCGATCCGACTGAGCATCTGCTTGTACATCCCTGATAGCTGTACCTCTGACTGAAAATTGCATCGTGCGGTGTCTGATTATTTGTTGTTGACATCGTCCTGATAGCCTCGCGCAATCCCTGACCTCCCTTGCTCCAGAATACTGGGCGCGTCTTGACCAAGTCTAGCTTCCAACCCACGGAAAGACCGTGATTGTAGAAATTGTCCTATGCATACTGCCTCAGGACACCACCCTCAGCTCGTTTCGTAAATGCTCACCTGCTGCGCTGTCCGACAATGTTGCCACAGTGTTGTCGTGATTTCGTAGAACCATCGCTGATGAAGCGACGGAGGTCTCGTGCGAAGAAGCCGGTGCTGAGTCACAAACTGTGTCAGCATTGCTTCTGTACTAATTCGCTTCCTACGCACCTCCATATCGTTTAGCATGTCGGTATTTACCTGTAACAAGAGAGAATACGGGTTGGTCCAAGTCTTCGTCTGATCCTTCGGGTGGATCTATTAGGATTGCATGAGAATTCAGCTTTCCTCAAGCTAGATTAGGTTTAGCACTAGCCTGGTGACATATGACTCTGCTGTGTGAGTAGTTTATCGAAGTCGAGCACATATTGACCAGTCCAACTCTGCTCCGTTCTCAGCGCGATCTCTAATTCGTAAGGTGTGATGATGGGGCGCAAAAAGTCCTGTTTAGTCATCGAGAGTATTCAGTGATAGACATGTTAATTTCGAACGATGCGCACCTTTGCATCGATGAGGCTGTTCTCGGGACACGCGACAAGAACGAAGCAATCGATTTCGAGGAAGTTAGCCAGTTTCGCGGGGTTGAGTTTGCCCACACTGATCGTGTAGCTCTTTTTGTGTGCGCGGGAGAGTATAGTGCGGAGATGTGAGATCAGAGGCAAGTATGATGCTGCGCAAAATATTTCACATGAGACATGTACACAGGGGAAGGGCGACATACACACCAACTCCAAGCGTTCCCACGAGAATGCCAAACACATCGGCATCCCTGGCCTTTTGTACGACTGCGTATCTCCGCATTAACAACTTGTTTGTGCGCCCAGACTCGATCCTCGCGGTCCTGGTTTTGGGGTCATATGAATGTACCTTGTCCGGCGGTCAGGAGCAGAACCGGCAGCACGTACAACTCAAAAGTGAAAAACCTACTTCTGATTGGGCATGTGTCATAATGAGGTTCGTCAGACTCAGGCTCTCCCCGCCAACAAATAAAATTGTGTAGTCATCGACGGGCGTGTCGTCAGATGCACCGCCTGTTGAGGCGCATGAAGCAGTTTGCGCTTGCTCGATGCCGTCTCGTGCTGGAGTTGATGCCAGAGGTATCTGGGTGTATAAGACTTTTATTGACGACGACAACGCGGCTTCGAGTTTCTCGAGAAGTTCGTCTGTCATGAGAGAGTACTTATGAGCTGATTATCAGGCAATGCCACTGAGAACATACTGGCTCTATGGGCATACGATACGTCGTGTCGTAGCATGATTGCGCCACCATCTTCGCGGAAGGAGGGTGACGCCCTCAGTGAACTAATCAAGCTATCCATGCAATCGGCAATATCGATATCCTTTTTCCCGAAGACATAAATTACTGGAAGTCGTGAAGTCCTGTATCGAGCGGATAGATGAGTGTTAGTGTAGACTAGGTTTGTACTGATACTCACTGACTCATGCATGCGTGCCCGTAATGTACTATGGCATCGGCATCGACATGTTGAGCGGCAACCTCGTCAACACAGCAGCTACGTGAAGGGGTGCGTATGACGGAGTGTACAATGACATAAGTACATGGTCCACTCGCTGAACAATTGATTGACAACCTGCCTGCCATAGGATGTGTCTGCTAAGACGTATAATTCTTTTCCTTCACCCAGACGATGTTTGAGTGTGCGATATATGGGCACCGAGTCGTGGAGAAGCTCGTCTGGAAATTGCAGAGCTATCTGTTGCCACGGATGTTTTAAGAATTCATTATGAAGCGATCCTTCGGCGGGCTAACTCACTCGCTTGTAGTCTCCTTCGATGATTTCTTTCGTTGTGCGCTCAATGTCGTAATGTTCTTCAAACTCCTCTGGAGATAGTTTATCTGCCAGGTTCTCCTTTTCTATCTCAATTTTCCGAGTGATCACATCCTCGCCCGCGGCAGAAAAGGCTGTATTTTCGGCCATGGCGAATGAACGATGAAGTGCAACTGCAAACTTCGAGCAAATCAAGATCGCACGATTGAATCTCCCCAGGGGCGTCACATATCTCACGCTCTTCACACGCAAACAGACGCAAATGTCCCTTGTATGGCAGTCCGTGACTGTCACAGACCGCATCTCTTTCGAGCGCGGCACGCTCGACGCCGACCGCACCCGTCATGTCTTCCTCCACGTCGCCGTCGGCGCAGGGCGTTGTTGACCGCGTCCAAGCCTTTGTTTCCGATAACAGGCGTGCGGTCGTCATTGGGACCGCTGCCGCGCTCGTGGCCATCGGCGGCGTCGCATACTATGCATCCACGTCTCGCGGTCCGGGCGGGGGCGATGCTGAGAAAGGTGAGCGCAAGAAGGACAAGAAGAAGCACCGTAAGCGCAAGACGGGGAAGGACAAGGATGGGCCCATTCTCGAGGAGCGTACTCCCAAGTCGGCGGAGGTGTCTGAGGAAGGTGAGTTACCATGAGCTAGCTCCCACACCTACTCTCTTATAGCGGCACACCAGAGGATGTCAAGCTGTCACCGGAAGACATTGCCAGTATGTCGACTGAGGAGCGGACAAAGGTTGCAGCTTCCTTGAAGGCCAAAGGAAACAGCACGTACCAGCAGCGCAAGTTCAGCGCTGCTATCGACTTCTACACTCGTGCTATCGAGGTCACGCCCAAACCTGAGCCTGTATTCTTCAGCAACCGCGCGGCATGTAAGTCCTTCTAGGACAAGCGTTTTGCGTTGCTTGATGCATCTCGTGACAGGTTATGTCAATCTGTCGCCACCTAACTTCGAAAAGGTGGTAGAGGACTGTGACGCTGCTTTGAAGCTTGATTCCGGCTATGTGAAAGCACTGAATCGACGAGCAACCGCTCTCGAGGCCCTCGAACGAAACGAGGATGCGTTGCGCGGTATGTGGTATGGTTTACGTTCAAGCTCTACCAGCTCACGATCATTAGATTATACCGCGGCAACGATCCTCGACAAGTTCCAAAACGAGTCAGCAGCGCAGTCAGTTGAGCGCGTACTGAAGAAACTCGCCACACAAAAGGCGCAGGACATCCTGTCGGTAAGTGTCATCATACTGGTTGCTGTGTTATGAGCTGCCCAAACGTCGCGTGGAAGTGAGTTCACGCCCAGCTGGCACATGTGTTTAAATTGGGCAGCTGGTGGTTTTTCTTAGTGCATCAAGAGAAACGAAACATCAGTTTTGATAAGAGCCCAGGCGTCTCGACGTTCCTAGGTAGCATTTTAGGTTGGACGATGGCGAGGTCGAACCTTGCCCTCTAGGTTTGGGTGTCACGTCGACGCTCTTGGTCGTGATCATCTTGCGGCAATATCATGTTGTGTCTCCAGGATATCTCGTGCTGATATACTCTTCAGACGCGTGAGCGCCATCTACCCTCTCACACATTCGTGTCAGCATACTTCGGTGCTTTCCGACCTCGTGAGTGCTTACCTCTTGCACACGTTGAGATATCTGATGTAGTACTGCAGGCCCCCTGCCGACATTACCGGAAAATCCGTCACAAGGCGACCAAACTCTGATTTTGTGCCTCGAGGCTCTGGCAGCGGGCGATTATGTCCACTCCCTCTCGCTTGTAAACGAGGCGATAGAGCAGGGCATCTCCTGGGATGCTGGCAAGGCCGAGGCGTTGAACCTTCGGGGTACCTTCAAGTATGTGTGATGTCCGTTGTAGAGAGCATAGTTGCTCATCGAGTCGCCCCGTAGGTTCCTCATGACAGATGTTATCGGGGCGAAGGAGGACTTCCTTGCCTCGGTCGAGCTGCAACCGTCGCTCACGCAGACTTGGGTCAAGATTGCGAGCGTGTACATGGAGCAAGGCGATCCAAAGAAGACGTTCGAGTGCTTCGAGGAGGCCATCAAGCATAATCCCGATGACCCTGACATCTACTACCACCGGGGCCAAGGTATATACCGTAGTAAGCGCGAGTTCGTTGTTGGCTAATGGTTAGCGCAGTTTTCTTTATCATGAACGAGTTCAAGGAAGCCGCGGACAATTACACCAAATCGACTCAGCTCGACGATGAGTTCGTGTTCAGTCACATACAACTGGCGGTTGCACAGTACAAGGCGGGCAACACGGCGAACAGCATGGCGACGTTCCGGCGGACACTGAAGGCTTTCCCCCAGCGGAGTGAGCCGCACAACTACTACGGGGAGCTGCTCCTTGACCAGCAGCGGTTCGGGGATGCGGTCGACAAGTTTGAGCGCGCGATCGAGATAGAGCAGGAGCGGTCGAAGTGAGTCATACAGTTACCCGTCTAGCACACACCTTCACGAATGGATAGACCCCCACCCATCAACGCATTACCTCACGTTAACAAGGGTCTTGCGCTCTTTCAATGGAAGCAAGACATCGCCGCTGCGGAGGAATGCTGCCAGGAGGCGCTGAAGCTTGACCCCGAGTGCGAAGCGGCTGTGGCAACGCTAGCACAGTTGAGTTTGCAACAGGGCAAGATTGACATCGCGATGGAAATGTTCAAGCGGCAGGCGGACCTCGCACGCAGCGAGCCGGAGTTGATGAATGCCTTGACTTACCAATTCGTGAGTACATCAGGCCCACAATGTACGATGCTGTGCTGACTATTGTGGGTAGGCGACGACGGCACAGGTTGAGTTCATGAAGACCTACCCCCAGATGGCCAACCAATTGAACTCGATCGCGAGGACGATGATGTGAGGTAGTTCGTAGATCATTGACTTTACGGAGAATGAGACTATGCGTAACAGCTGCATGCATGTGCTCCCCACTATTTACTTGCCTCATCTTACTTTACGACGTTCAATAAATGCACCCATCGCTCATTTATTTGGTCGAAATCATCAATTTGCGTGACAGTACTGGTAATCAGTCTTCGTCAACACTGATCTTTGATCTAGCCGACTTGGAATGTTCGTGCACTTGACATCCGTTTTGCCGGAATTTCGACCACGACATCATGATCCATCTCTAGACCTAATAGCTGCTTTCTTGACATATACCACCAGGACCTCGCTGTCTGTTTCCTGAATTCTCGCAAATGACTGACTTCAAGTTCCCGTCTCCGACGAGCCTCAATGCCGCCGAGCCCGCATCCCTGAAGGCTCGGCGGCAAGTCGCTTTCTACCCAAACATGAAGTCCTCGAACAAGCCCCAGAAGCCCTTTAGCCGCAGCGCCGCTAAACGGGAGAGTGTAATGGCCCTGGGGAGCATAGAACATCTACAACATTACTTTACTAAGTCGGGAATCGCGGCGGAAAGCAAGTGAGTAGCTACTTTTTGGTGAGCCCGACCACATGCTGACACCCGAGAAGCCCTCTCAACAAGCCGAATAGCGGTATGGTTCCCGCAATCGGTGGTCCCTCGATGCTGAATATCAAACCGTACTCGGGAAGGGACCGCGACTTGCTGTTGCCGCCATCTCCGATTGTGCCGCAGATTGTCCAGCCGTCGTTTCCGCCGTACGTCAAGACGTACGAAACGGACCCGGAGAACCTTCGTCCAGGGGTGATTGAAGACCTGGATACAGTCGCGATTGGATGGGAGCTGGACGGTGGGTATCAGACGGAATTGCAGGATACGAGCCTCCTCGGCACGGGTACGCGATCAAAGGACCACTTGGACGTGCTCGATCTACTGAAGAGAACAACGCGTGCGGTGCGATCCGTACGGAACTATCTCGTCTCACTGCCCGACGACTCGACTACACCCATGCTGCAAACGTACTTCCGCCCACAAAGCCTGCCGAGTGCGCCGCTACCAAAGCGACGCGTATCGCAACCGGACTCATCCTCGGAGCCTCTGACGCGCGTGCGAAGGGGCGCGCTAGAGGTGCTGACGGTGCTGCGCGAGCTGGAGGAGCGCGCGCGGCTGCCGCTGGAACACGACGCGTACGATGCGCAGAGCGAGCACGACTCGACCCCAGATAACAGTGCCCATTCACGCGCGGCATCCCCATCATCGCATCTGGAGGATCCGGATGCAGGTGCGGACTTTGTGGTCGATGCGGAGAATTCGGTTTCGATCTCGTTCATCGAGGTAAGCGGGCGGCAGAAGGCCATTCGAGTATGGGAGGACGAGGCTCCAGATTCGGGGAACTTAAGCGAGGAAGAACGGGAGAAGCGCGAGCGGTGGGACGAGCGGCTGGTCGTCGGCGGTGGATGGCTGTACCGGCAGGACATGCAGCTGACGGACCTTGAGCCCGAGCGCGAGGTGGTCGGACGGTATTTGGATGCTGTTGACGACGTGCTGTTTGGCGGGGTGCAGAACGGGAAACGCGGGTGGCAGAGAGAACGGGAACGCGTCCTGCAGAAGGAACGGGCGGAGCGGGCGAGGGGACGCAGGGTCAGTGCGGGGGACGCGCCGAGGGAGGGAGGATCGAAGAGATCAGGCCGTAGGGTGGTCTCGACGGGGATGCTTGAAGCCATGCGAGATATGGTGGTCACGGAAGAACCGGAGGAAATGGAAACTGTGGCGGAGGAGGACAGCGTCGACGACGAAGACCTGCCGAGCTGGGCGAAACGGTCGACATTTGAGGATGATCCACTAGGTTGTTCTACAGTAATACTGAATTTTTCCGGCCTCTCACTAACATGAATACCACACAGGCCGTCTGCATGCGATACTCGTAGCATTCCTTCCGGTCAATCTCCTTCCCCAACTCCCCCCGGCGCCACCAAAACGGGCGGCCATTCTGCAGGCCCTCTCCTCGGGTCAATTACTGTGTACTGCTTACAATGTCGGAGTCCGACGTTCACGGAAACAGTGGGGCTTCGTGAGCAAAGACGCCATCCACGATATCGCGGCGCTTGAAGCTCAGTCGCTCGAAGACAGTGCGCATTCGGACAAGGGGAAGCGAGGATGGACGTTCCGGAGAACGGACAACTTGCGCCTTTGGGCTGCGTGAGTGCTTGATCCCCGAGGCCTTCTGTGGCGGCATTCCTGATCACTCTGTTCGCTCCAGAGCGTTGAAGCTGCGTTATCTTTTACTGATCACGTCCCCAGTCAAAGCCGGTTCTTCGAAGGGTAACCTTACACCATCGCCGGGAACGACACCTATAGCCTCGCCATCAGTTTCAATGTCTTCGCTGCAGTTCCCGAGCCATGTGAATGAGGAGCTGATCATCTTCGACGCGCCTCTTGTCGCGCGGCAAGACGGTGGCTGGGAGAATATGCTCGAGAAGGCGGTGTTGAAGTGGGCAGACGCCGTGGTAGACGAGATGCGCGGTGAAAGATAGTGTCTTGACCGAGATTCGTCCTCGAGATCAAGGCGTAATGTCCGTAGTATGTTCGGCTAAATCTGTATACCACCGCATCAACCCCAGCCAACTGTAGTACTTCACTTCACATGCATCGATACCCGCGAACAGCACTCGCGCTTCGGTGCGACGAGTATAATTCCTGTGACGCCGGTGGCTTGTCATCACGATAGCAATTGTGCAAATCCCCATCCAGGTTGCTGAGGCCGTCTCGCTCCAGGCGTCTTGTGAGGCACTGTCTCGCTATCAGTCGCGCAAACATGATATGTATGGAAGGTGGACGATCCACCATTCACGTAAAGGAAGCGATGCGATTTTACAGAGAAGCCAGTCCGGGCGGGGTCCTTCAGCAGACTTGTCGGGGCCTGATGCAGATGAAAAATATTGGGGACGCGTTGAATAAACTTACAGAGATACCCCTGGAAACGAAACGTATGGAAGTAGGATTGTTTCTTGTCAAACCAAGCAGGACACCAAATTACTCAATCAGTAATATTGGTGATGTTTATGATTTTTAGTGACGTAGAGCCTAGCAGCCTGCAACAATACATTCAAGTTAACCAGCGGTTTGTGGCGCGGGCGTGGCGCTGGGACACAGAAGTTGGCGACAAACGCGGTTATTGACCGCACTCTCCTGGCTGTGATTGTAGACCGGTCGTTTCAGCCGCAAGTGACATGCCGATCCTGACATTCCCCAACTTGAACAGCATTCTTCGCTACCCTACTTTGTTTGATCATCGAGAAACCGGAGGAGTCCAGGCTCGGCATTCTTCTCTGTTCATATCCATCGATGCGTCATAGAAGCCAGAAGAGGATGTCGAACAGACTGTAGGCTGATTATGCTTGCGCCACTGCTCCCAACAACATAATAAGCTCATGAGCGGCCTCGGGGATATGAATAGCGTAAAAGCAAGCTCATTTATGCACACGACAGTGGGCCTCTTCTGGGCGTAATCATGCTTCAGAAGCCCGGGTCCTGAGCTTCAAGTAAGCGTACCTTATCATGGATATGATGAAATGTATGGCAAGGTGCCCTGTAGGATCCAATCCCATACCGTTGTTCCATGCGCAGCGCCCGCATCGGTGAGATTAGCGCCCATAATGAATCTGCACGTTTTTCCCACATGCAGCTGCATGCTACCCGCCTTCCTGGGTGAGTGGATGAGACCTGCCAAATTCGCTCCCGCAAAGCTGGCAATCATGCTCGACAGGAGCCGATAGCTTCACGCTAGATCTGGATAGGTATACGTGATTGTACCAGGCGATTGCCCGCTACTCGTCGGCTGGTTTCTCAGGCCGTGGACAGTATATATCTACCCCTAGGAGGTGAGCACCCCAATACCCCATACCCCCTTTGACTTGCAGCCGTCTTATGCAACATGTTTGCGCGACAATTCCTGTCTGCACAGGCTTTAGAAGAACAGCGGCAGTCTGGAGCCGTGCTGCTGTTGTGTCCGTCGTTGCCCGCTTCTGACAGCCCGCCTTCTTACTCCTCCTTGATATCGCTCTCGACGCAAGCGAGAAGCTACACGCGACCTAGCTGCTTTCCTGGATTCACCCCTATCCCGACTGCCTCACGGCGTACACATATTCCCCGGCCTTCGGGGCTTGATTCAGGCGCATCGGATTCCGACACACCACTGCCTCCTAGTCCACGGAGGAGATCTTGGCCGCACGCGCGACTACGCACGCGTATTGCGGACCAGAGCGCACAAGCAAGAAGTCGGTGTGCGTCTAGTGATATTGGCTGGGAGGCCTTGCCCGACATGAGTGCGCCGGATAGCAGCCCGCCTCCCTATTCTCCGACGCCACCCATCCCAATCGGGATATCAACAGTCCCCAGGGCAAGCTCCTCTCCCCATCTACGATCCTCCCCATCTTCTCCCCCCTTCGCTTTCTCAAGCATCCCGTCCACCTCTTCGCTCCCTTCACATCCGCGTCATGGCAGCACACCACCAGCGTACTCACACATGTCGCCCTTGTGCGCACGAGGGGAAGATACCGACGACACGACACCCTGCGAGGACGACCTACTGTACACTATGTCATCTAGTAGTGCCGCGGGTACTCTGCGTTCGCGGGTACTCAAGCGGAAGCATCTGCATGCTGAGACGGCCACGAGGCCTATCTCGACCGTTCCTGGAGTACTCGGGGCTGGTGAAACTGAAACAGAGGGGGAAGAAGCGGTGAGCTACATCTTACCATGTCGTCGCTTTCGCGTAGCTTGTTTGCCTCGTTTGATCTGCATTTCGTTGGGCAACCCTCGGGCAGGATCATTACACGCGTGTCACGTGAATTGCACGTGTGCGCGTTACCGCTACACGTGCAAGCGCGTTCACGCGTCACGAGCACTTTTGAATGTCCTTATCATTCGTCCCATGCTAAAGGAATGAAGAGTCTGACGTAAATTCTATTTTTAATAGCCTCGAGATCTCCCTACAGCTCGCATTACACATTCTGCTCTGACAACATTCGCATCCTCTGATCTTCCGACATGGTTCATTCCCCTCATCTTCTTCCTCGCACGCTTTCTCTCCATTGTACCTGCTATCTTTGGTACGCTCTGGAACTTGTATCATGTTATCTGCCCCCCCGGTGGATCAGGGCCTGACGCGCTGTCTTGGCGCGTCGATTACTTCATTAGTGTTCTCTGGGTAAGTCTAGGCCAACCCCTGACGCTCATCCCGCGATAGGAATGCATTCTAATCAAAGTTTGTTATTTTACAGTCAATCCTTACTGGCTGGCAGTGTCTACAGCTCACGACAGGCCTACTCAAGAGATGGCGAGTGTACTATTCCCCGCTCCCGACGCTCATACGTCTCTTTGCACTCCAAAGTACGGAATTATTTCTGTTTGGTTTGTACGAGCAGTATCCTGATGCACAATAGCCATATGCTGGCCCGCGACCCACTTTACGCTCGCACTCCTCAACCATGAGAAGCGCCCGGCGTTGTGTTGGGCAGTCATCGGTTCCACGACGTGCTACAGCCGGAGCATCCAACTCTGGGTGACATCGAACATTGGTCCGGCGCCAGCACCAGCGCCCAGACGCGTTACGCGCGGAAGGTCTTCCCTGCTCCAGTCCGTGCTCGCCAGTGCAGGCGGCATGCGAGAGGAGTGGATGAAGCTCCGGCGGCGGCGTTGGGATTGGGGCGAAGTGGGGAGGAAATGCGTCCTTCCCGCCGGTATTGTGTATTTCGTCATGGCGTGGACAGAGATGCTCAGAAAGGAGTGGGAGCGGGCGGCTCGCTAGCGCCGTTGTGGAGCGGGCTTAATTGCATGTTCGTTTAGGTATCGGCCCCATGGCTCGCGCTCGCTTTGCAATATGCTTTCGACGTTGGGCTGTCAATTAGAACATGTACCATAAGGACATCTAGTAATCCGGAGTTATGTATGACTGCAAGCAGGAATGAATGTGGAGTCTCAAGCGTGGATCGCCGGTATACTTAATGAAAGCCTCTTTGACAGTAGCTATGTAGAAGTGCCATTGATATTAGCGCAGCTTACACATCTACACTCTCGATCACTTCGCGATTGACAACGATGTACCCAAGTACCGGCTTTGCGCAATTAGCGTTGATCTCGATGCTGCAGATACTCAGCGCGCAGCCGATGGTATGATCAGTTTAGGGGGCTTACCTGCGTGGGAGACGTTGCGTATGGTCTATAGGTATCATGTCGAGGATGTTGCCACTGAGGAGCTTATCAGCAGCATGCTGCCCGCTGTCCCGCAAGTGATGGCGAACGTTCAATCTGCGACGCATGATAAGCAAGACACTTCGAAAGAGCTAGGACATGTACGCACAAAGCCAGCAACGAATTGAGATAGACTGAAAGTTTATGATTAAAACACGATGGATACTAGTGTGGCAAGGGAATAAGCTCACGTTTGCTCCCGGGGAAGTGAAATATTGTCCAAACTAGCTTGAATGGGGTTGCGTGTATGTAGCTTACAAACTATACCATGTGTGTCATTTTGTCATAAGACAAGGTATCGATTACTCACTGTTGCAAATTGCAGAAGTTGCACAGCCCTTGAGTAAAGAACTCAGCATAATCCAGATAGAATGCATATATCCGCAATTCCGCTCACGTGGTTACGATACCTCGATGGATAGAATACAAGATGAGTCGTGATATCTGATAGTCGGTCCTGGGAGATGGTTAGTTGTACCGTTATCCCAGTAATTGGCCAGTCATCATACTTTCTGAAACCTGTCTTCTTGCCGTTCAAAATCATGCATAGCAGTACTGAGATGTAGATATCTGCAAGGACCGCTGTCAAAGTTTGCAGGCATCCAGTAGCCTGGTGAGAAGATCGTGTCAGATGCCTAGCGTTCCCTCGTTCACAACGTACTGTAGCGTCTTGAAGTCCGGCCGCGATGTTTCTGTTGACCTTCCTGTAGCGGAGATATGTTAAAGGGCGAACATGGCGATTAGCGTGCGCTTCATTTAGACTCACAATTTGTATACGGTGACTGAAGATAGTGGGTTCGATGAACCGAATGGCTTATAAGCAAAACCTGAAAGTTGTGTGAACGCACCAATACCACATACTACGCATTTGAAAAAAGTCAGCATGCGACAACTCGACCATGAATTTGATGGCAGCATACCGAAGGAAAGGAAGGATAATAATGTCTTCGTCCGCGATATTAGTTTACCCCTATATATTAATCTAGCAGGACATACCATAGTGATGGTTAAAGGAAGCTGCCATCGTTGGTATGCGAGGACTAAAACAGGCCTTTTAGACGATACAAGCATTGATACAGATGAAGCCGAGCACACATACACCTCCAAATTGAATAGATGAAATAGCTGTTATGCGTTTGGTCAGCATGTACAGCGCTCCGCCATGGATGTGAGGAGCTCCTAATAAACATGTATAATTGCTTCTTACATTTGTACAATCACAATAATGAGAGCCTGAATGATTTTGTCAGACTTTGCGAAGAATTATGCAGGATTACACAGACTGAGACGAAGAATTCCACCTAGAGCGAAGTCAATGTCTTTGCAATGGCATACAGCCTTGTCTTACCACAAACGCGCTATACCTGCATCAGCATAATACACGCGAACACATAGGCGGCGACATACACAGGAAAGCTGAGGGCGAGATACGGAGAGCCACGGCTCTGTATTTGGAAATGCCACAGGCACTAAGCGAAAATGAGCACGACGACGTAGCAGGGAATATCTCAGCACATTACCATAGCATCCAAAACTGTTCCAACAGTATCGAGTAACCTGGTATGGGGTTGATATACCGCGTTATGCACGCAAGACACTACAACATACCAGAGGAAGGCGATCTGGGTCGTGCGTGAGCTAATGGAGGGACATTACAAGCAGGATGAAGCGACCTACCAACAACCGTAGATTGAAGACGTCATCGGAGTAGTGGCGATAGTAATGAAGTGTCTGAGCACACGATAGTCCATATAGCCTGTATCTTGGGATCAGCTTTGCAGCCCACGAGCTGACTGGATTCACGCACATCACGCCGGCCGTGATTCCGATGAACCCACATCCCAGTGTGCTATCCAGATGGAGATCGAATACGGACATGGAGTACAAGGGCAAAGCTAGCAGATAAAGATAGTGAGTGTATGGACACTGGCGGCTATATACTTGCGCGTGGCTGGGTCAGACCGCAAGGGAGGTGCGGTTGCAGCTGAGGCGGCCGTTGGCAGCAGCGTTTGTATGGCCGAACACGCGTTCACACGACGACAAGACCCTGTCCGACAATGCAGGGATTCTATGTAACACATTCTGATGTATGAGTTCTTCGGTGAGAGGGCGGTTCATAACTTGCCCGAAGTCGCAGTTGCGGTCACGGCGTCTGGACGCCTCCAATGAAGCGAACACAAAGCCGCATCCTATTTGATCGAACCACGTCCATATCGCAGCACAGGACGAATGTCAAAAAACTTCGCATAGAACAGATGCCGAAGCCTTGTCTTTAAATGATTGCGGTGCACGGCCCTGATGATGTCACATTTACTTTCCAGCCAAAGCGGAGATCCGCCTGCATCGACTCGAAGTCGATGTCTCAAAGCCGGACTGGACAAAACAACATCTGAGCGAGTAGACAACAGACCTTAGCTAGAATGAGAAGTTACCGGGGATGATTGGAGAATTGCTATGACAACCTTAACCTTAACGACTGTCATGCAGTGCGAACGTCACAGCTGAAAGTTCTGGTCACGACAGATAGATGCACAATCATACCCTTCTCCGCAGATAGTGCGGTTGAGGCGCCTGGTCAAATGAGCTCGGAATTTGGAAACAATCTGTCACCGTTATATTCAAAGGACATCCATCCGACTACGTGCAATGGCAACTCGCGTCAGGTGTGCGCGATATTATCTAGAACGGTATACAATGAAGACCTACAGAAGGATGCGGTATGTCGTCTCTGCTGTTCCGGGCGAATATTAAGTCACTGTCAGGTGTTGACTCTGCCTGGCATCAAAGGGGACTACAGGCCATTCTGCTCCCCGTTCTTGCTCCTGAGGCGGGCCACATCGACATCTGCTAGCCCTCTGCGCCACGGTGGCCGGCGGGCAAAAAGATGATCAGCACTGTGACACGACCTCGGTTTGGGCCGTCGCTTCGAGATATAAGAAGAGACCGAGCAGCTTCCGCGGTGTAATCGTCTTCATGTACTGAGCTTGAAGCTTAAAGCTTGACGTCCCAGATTGTTTTGTGTTGTTCATAACTTCGCCACCGTACCATCTAGGAATGGTCGTAAAGTGTCAAGCATGGTTTCCGCGGAAAGGTTTAAGGAATTCTGTTATCATTACTCGTGACAGCTTGAGGCTCAGTCTAGTCCTGCGCGCTGAGAAGTCCAAGCAATTCTCGTGTCTTCCGGGACCCCAAGGACTTCGCACTTGTGGGAAGTTCAAAATGGTGAGAGGCAAGGTAGTAAAGAGACGCACTGTCAGTTCGCCGTCACCTGAGTTCCTCATAACCCGGCATTATCGTCAAAGTCAGTTTCTATAACGACTTCACAAGGCGATCTTCCGATACCTATGAGAATGACAAGCGCGGTGAAGACTGAGAAACAGCAGGTGGGTAGGGGCTTGCGAATCGAGAAAGTTGCATGAGCAGACAAGGCCGGGGACATGCAGATTGGCGCTCCGCGAGGTCGCAAACGGGCCGCAAGAACGGGAAGTCCTTTGACAGATAGATTGCAGCCACATTTGAGAAGTGGCGCCACGCTACATTAGCCCATGCACTGAAGACACTGAAGGACAAGCTTCAGCCACGGACCACGGTGGGTGAACAGCGCCTTGGACGGACAAAATTGAGACGTCAAGGACATCTTCCATTCTTTCCAAAGTGTGAAATAGAGCGACACGCATACCCGAGCAGCTCTAGAGCCAGTGCGAAAATAGATTCGTACTCGTTGTTGACTTGAAGGATGCCTACTTTGGGGCCTGACTAGGACCCCTGATAATCCCCCCAGAGGTCCGATCCCGAAAGTGGCCAGTTTCGGGGGTTGATGAGATTAGATTTATCACGATCTAAGCGTGGGAACTTCAGGCACAGTGCATATTTCGACGTATCTTTGGGATAACCATCCACTCACCAAGTTTGGGGGAGATCGGTGACAGAATGGCCTCATAAAACGTCAAATACTGTTAAAAGTGGGTCATTCTTAGGGTCATTTTCGGGGATTTTGGGGATCGGAGCTCTGGGAGGACTATCAGGGGTCCTGCCTGACTGCGCATTGTCATGCGAGCACGTGACACCATATGCGAAGCTTGAACCGAGCGCCGTGGCTTGCGTCTTGACTAAGACACTCAAGGCGACCGTTGCATTAAATCGCTGTCATACTCTGAGAATAACCACTATTGCATGACTATATATTATGATTGTCCTCCCCACTGCATAATTCATAATGTCTGCCTACGGGAAACAGTTCACTTGACACACGTTGAAGTCTTTGGACTAAATAATCTCGGTAATGATTACCTGCACCGATGAAAGGAGCGGATATAACTGTTACGACGGGGTGACACATACACTCGGGTTCGTCAATTTTGTATGGGCGTCGGGGACTTATAGCTGAGGCACGGAACCTTGGCAGATTAAGCAGCAATATTGCGTTGTGCCTTAACGGCCCACCGTACATATTATTCAGGACATTGTGTTGTCCTCCCTCGTGCAAAGGTCACTACCTTGGACTATCGAGACCGCCCGCGCAGAATCTAGGCCTGGTGACTCTGTAGCTTTTTTCCCACATCAGATGAAGGGCACGTTGATTCTTTCTGTATTAGGAAGCATACAATGATGTCCCGAGGGCACTCGGTCTCCGCGTGGTGCGCGATAGCGATCAGAAGATCGGGCCGATTGACCTCGCGCTACTAGTAGGAACAAGTCGATCGTTCAATAAGGACCAACATGGACCTATGCTCGCTATTGGTGCCTTCCAAAAATTATCTGCGTGTGGCCGCATACACCTGCAATTTCTTACATATCCTGTTCACCATCATGTATGTCTACTACTCTGTTTGGACCAGTCGTATCAAGTATCGTAACAGCTGTCATACCTTCGTAACAATATGTCGAGCAAACTATTGATTATAGCCTACACCGTCGCGACGTGCCCATAAACTATTCGTACATTATCCGTTCATTCTCAGCTTTTCTAACATCTTCGCACTGGTACAAGCACACCGGAATTGCAATATCATCAATTATCGATAAACATCCGAAGATGAGAGAAACACACCTTTACAACCCTTTTTGAACTAATCAGGACAAGCATCTCGGTGTACCGTTCGCATGTGCCTTGTGAGAGCGTCTCGACGGCACAGCCTCTCTGAACACTTCGAGCACTGCACCGTCTGGAGGTGAAGATGCGTCGAAGCGATGTGTTTGGCAAGGTTATGGTATTTCACATCCTTAGTGCATCCCGCCCACTGACATCGGACTTTGGAGTTAGGAAGTCCCTCTCCCGCACCGCAGAGATGGATCGCCTCGAGGTGTGTTTTGATGTCCTTGCGCGTGAATGACGGGAGGTCTTTCCCACAGCCGGCCCATTGGCACTTCTCGTGACCTTCTCCGGGGGTCCCGACGTCCACGCTATTGAGAGTGGGACTCGGAGTTGTGGGGTTGAATGGAATCGTGTCGGTGTGGTATGCATTTACGTCGTACGAGTACGAGGGTGTAGCATAGGGGGCGTACTCCGCTTGATGCGCCTGCTGCTGGGCAAAGGCGTGGTCCTCAGAGACGTACATGGGGAAGGGATCAGCATCGCCGAATCCAGCATGGGGCGGGACGTCTTGCATGTCGTCGAGGTCAAGTCCCATTAGATCGTGGACCACAGCGTCGAAGCTCGGAGAATTATCAATGACTGCGGGAGGACTGATGGCGGTGTCATTCATAACAGGATGTCCGGGATTATACCGAGGCGTGTATTCTGTGGTGATAACGATTCGTACGTCGGGGTCAACGAAATGCGTTAGCGATGCGGATATCAGCGCGGGATCTTGCGTTGACTTCAGGATTATCCTCAGCAGCAAGGTGGCGATCTCATTGCGGAACTCAGGAGGAACGACGTTTACAGTGTCCGTATGCCGATCCTGTTCTCTGCCTTGCACAGGGAATTGTATTGAGTGAAGAGCGGAGGGATTGACTGGGCCCTGGTCACCTGCGAGTAAGGTCAATACCAGAGGTCGTGCATCAACGAGGGTTGCGTTCGTACCCTGGAACGCAGACGAGTAGGCGTATGCATACGACCCATCGTATAGGTCGTCGGCGGTAGGTCTGCTGAAAGAGGGCATAGCAACTGATGAGCACGTTACTTTGCATCAGATCGAAAAACCACACACCTGATGTGTTCAAAACGCTCGTCCATGGTCGGCAAAAATCTGAAGCGAGGGCGGGAAGATGGCTAACAACGAGTGCTGAGAGAGCTGTCCGGACAGCCAGGTCTACTTATGCTGCCTGGCCTGTTGAGACAGATCGATAGCAGTATTGTAAGCAGCGCGCTGCGGCACACACTGTACGCTATACCCTATGCCCGCGCACAGGATTGGTACGGAAGAAGCTGAGGGCTCCACGACAGGCACGTTCTATATTACAAACAGACATTTGACATATGATTGTACCCAGCCCATTTCTACCGCAATAAGCCCGTCCTGCGCCGACGAAAAGCCCAGGCAAGGCGCGCGAAGGGAAAGAGCCCTTCAAAGGGCTGTCTGCTAGCAATTCCCAGCAGGAAAGTGATTCCGTATGAGAGACTTGTAGTAATAGACGCGCAGTTGGTGGTCGCACCGTCTCTCGCAGCGTCCGAGCTGCGTGCTTCCTCGGAGTGCAGGCGCAAAACGCCTGTCAACATCAGATGGTGCTAGAGCAGCTGACTGACGGGAAATATCGAATGCGTATGTATTCCCCCGCCTCTCTCTCGTCTTGGAAGTCGACGAGGAACACGGACCACATCTGATAGTATAGCATGGGCGGCCATCGTCACATGTGTCCACACGGATTCGCCGAGTACAGCTTTTGCAGTGCAAAATGACGGACGCTGTACATCTGGGGATAAAAATATTACAGAGACATTGTGCACAATAGCATCGGATTGACATGTACCTATCTCTGGGTTGCCCTACACCTCCGCTGAGTCAACCGGCCAGGTCGAGACGCGTTCTTGAAGTAAGAAGCCGTGGCTACGGTACACAGCGATCGTCCATGTGCTCAATTGGGCAATCGAACGCTGCAGAATTCAGGAGACGTGTGAGAGCGGATGTTCGGATGCATCAGGTGCCGGATGTAGTGGACCCGAGTCATTTGTCGGCGGCAAACAAAACAATCCCTTTGACCGGGACTATTCCCGTGAGCCTATCCGTGTCTTCGCGTCACAAAAGCAGCGTATGGGGAGCCAAGAATCCTAATCCCAGAAGCAAATCCGCCTCGTCCTCTAGTCGCTTCCCCTGGTCGACTGAACCTGCGTTAAGAACAATTGTGCCGCTTGACTTCAAGCCTCCGTGGACCTCTTGGATGATAGTGATAGCTCAGAGACACCATGGGCCATGACCAACTGGATGAGTACACAAGAACCGTGGAGCGGGCGTTCAAAGACGATGTTGAAGGCAATCTGCATTTACTATAGTTGTAAGCTTTCATTAAGCCTGAAGCTCCGTGTGGCAAGATGGACTTGAAGGTCTTCGTGTGACGCTAGCACCATGGCCGACGTCGTGGGACGTACCAGAGAGCGAACCCGCTCCTGTCTGGCGGCGGCCTGAACCACAGATCCTTCAGATGCCACAACTCTTTGACCATTGTAAAGTCCGACATGCCCACGGTAATGCTAGTCTTCAGGTAAGCCTCTATCGGCAGATGAGACGATCTTTCCTCTCCAGGTCGCGTTGCCCCTTAGCGAACAGGAAGTACTGAGCCGTTCAGCAGATCGTGAACGATATCCACGCAGACGGTTAACGCGACGCAATCGCTTAAATGAAAACCTCGTGGTCGAGGCGTGTACGTGGTGACTCGCAGATTTGCGGACAATTGCCGTTAGGCGAGGATCCGGGCCCTGACCCACGCCTATCACCACAACGAGGCCGAACGAGTCTAAAACCTTCGATTACAACGTACCTGGATCCACAACGACACATGCGTGCCCATCCTCCCCAGCTCGTGGTGCCGGGTCATCAAGCGCATTCGCGATGACACCGATATCGATGTCGATTCATTCTCGAGATGGTCTGTCGTCAGCGTGTCCTTACTCTGAGGAGCGTGGTAGCGATGAAGCGTCAATACAGACAGCTAGAGACGACAATTAGACGATTCATAGTTATAGGAGTAGACGAAGGTTGCAAGCTGATTAGCGCCCAGATGCGCAAGCGCAGGGTTGGCGTAATGAGACAGTATGTGGTTTCGTATTCATGATGCCGGCGAAATCAAGTCACCTCGTGCAGCATGTTTTATTCTCTGAAAGTACAGGGTAGCATTACAATCGAGATCAGAGGTAGAACATGCTATTTCGTAAATCACGATGTATCCCTCCTTGGCGGAACCGCGTGCTATCACTGACCCAATCGGTTTCAAACTCCAACAAGCAAGAAGCCCTCTGACTCGCCAACTGAGCGTATTTGATTGGCGCGACCATGCTCATGGCAGCCCCTGCGTGGTCATTCTTGAGTGTGAGGATATGAGAAATTTGCTGTAGATCGTCAGGGTTGTACCCGTTGGTGTCGTAGACCACTGTATAATGTAATGGCAGAGAGCCCTTTTGTCCAGCCTTCACATGTAGACTCAGCAACGACTTGTCCGACCCTGTCGCTGTAACATACCTGCAGATAAAAATCGTAGGAAAATGGCTGTGAAATCCCCTTATCTACTACAGTCCCAGAAGGAGCATTCCCACTTCGGCTGTTCTTCCCGTGGTAAGAGTATGTGAGCTCTGAAAACAACTGTGAAGTACCTTTTATCTTGATCCACAAATATCCATGGATGATTACGTGATTTGCAGCAGTGTACGATAGAAAGTTTCAAGTGTGCAGGATCTCCCAATCGTCCCTGAGCCTTGGAATAGGCACTTGATATCTGCGGCACTTCTTCACAGAGTAAGTTGGGCTAGTATACAGATGTTAAGTCTACAGCAAGTGCGAAGACGCCAGGACCCACCGGTAACGCGCCAGAGCGATATATCAAGATTCGTTCAGGCAGCCGGCCATTCTTGCTACGATAGAGCGCAAGGCATTGTCCGAAGAGACGACCCACGTCTTTCAGTAGCCAAATCAATATGTCAAGATCAAAAGCACGTATACAGTGACAAATCTACCTGGTTTTTGAAAGTCAACTGTTACCTCAAGGTGAGCAGGGAAGTTGTGGAAAAACCCGTCAACGTTGGAGACCATTGCCGCGGTGGTCCACGCCATATTCATGGAAGGCAGACTGTGCCGTACATGCAAACCAACAATCATGTTCGCACGATCTGACAGCCATCGGATGGATTGGTCATCGAGGTAATAATTGATCCCGCCGAGTTTCGCATTGAGCTTCAAGGCGAGGCTGGATAAATATCCATCACCATGAGCCTTCGGAAGAAGAATGTGAGCCGTATGGATGCCGAGCACGACGTCGGTGTAATACTTGATAGCGGCGTATAGCTGTCGCTTGCGCCATGGAAGCATAACGATAAGAAGGCTCGGTCTGAAGCGGAGTCTGCTGATAATGATCTCTTGGACGCGCGCCATCTCATCCGCATCTTCTCTTTCCACAGAAACTTGCATCACGAACGGCCTGTCCGGAATCTTCATGCTGAACGCCCTACATTTTTGCACAAACTGGCTCACAAATCCACGGAAGTTCGGATCATCGATTCCAGTGAAGCGAGATGGACTCTCGCCTTGTACAAGCAACACCGCCCAGTTAGACACCGTTGCTCCAGAGAGGGTTCGGGTATCTTTCACGTTCCAGAGACCATCTCGGACAACGCGGATACCATTGCCATAAACGATGCCCGGGGCAGGGAGGACACGTGCTGGGATGGTATTAGTTCTTAGGTCGATAGTGATCCGAAACCTGTCCAACAGGTCTGGGAGTGCCGAGGATCGTTGCATTGTGAACAATCGTAAGCCTTCGGCGTGGATCACGGAAGCTGTGTCAAGCGGAGACTTGGAGGACCATTTTTGGAATACTGGCAGTCCATATGGCAGTCTCCTTCGCACTAGCTGACCGGGAAGAACGTCGCAAAGTTCTTCAGGGAAAGGGATCCCCTTCCCAAATTCAATGACAGGGATATCATTGCTATGTTGCAGGGTCACGTTATAGTCTAAGTTCAATTTGAGCAACTGCATGGACTCTGACTCCCACTGTAGTGGTACATACTTGTTCTAAAGTAGTCCTCGACTGTCATGTTCGAATCAATCATTGGTGACTGTCTGGCGGTTGCATTCGCGACGCGAGTGACAATTATCGATGACGGATCCATGCCGGGACGTTTAACTCGGACCCGCAGCCGCTTAAACATGGTAGTAGATTCTTGTCTGTTTGCCAGCATCGTGTCCGCCAGGTTTCCGGGACAGTGAAATAAGCTCTTCTGTGGACCGATGTTCAAGTTGAGATACCCAAGAGTTGGATAGATCGAAAATGAGACGCCGACTAACGCCTCGATAAATGGTCCCAGCGGGTTCGCGTCTTGTTTCATTGTACCAGGTATCTGGTTGTTTCCGAGTCGGAGGACCGGCATTGCGAGTGGCATGCTGCTTGATGATGATTGATAACGCCGAGAGCATAGGATGTATATTATGACCGCGGTGTTGGGGATTGCCTGCGACGTATCTCAAGCAGGTGTCAGATGGCGCAGACATAGTGATGAGGGTGATCAGCACGCACTCTCGTAAGACTTTAGTATTTAGCTTGTGTACAAGGATAATATCAACAGTGATGACAACAGGACCTGCATCTTGGCGATACTGAAAATCCACGTCGATTTCCAAGGGTTGAGGCAACTATTGGACAGACAAGATTCGCTGAGAACCATCGTGAGCGATGCCTGCTATGTATGGTTTTATACGTGAGTGCTCCAATATAACGCGCATCATTCTTTCCCTGATAAGTCGTGGCCTCGAGACACTCGTATACGGGAGTGCCGTCGTCGGCGATACAGCATAGTGGAATATCGCGTCATTGGTAGCATACAAGCGGAAGCTGCTCGTTTGGAGTGATATTGGATTGCCTAGCGATCCAAACTCTGGGCGGGATGGGATAGGGTCTGAAGGGTGTGACTGATAGAACACAAAGGTTTGCATAAATTCACAAGTACACACCGAATGGCACATATAATATGCCCTAGTTTCACGTTACTCACGAGCATGGTCCTGTCGGCTGTCATAAATCAGAGAAACATTTGCTGGACGAGAAGTCGTGGGAATTTCAGTTGAAGCGCGTTGCGCGCTAAGGAGCGCTTCCATGCCCAACTCGGACTCAGTGGCAAGCAAAATTGACTCTTTAGTTTCACTTCTCTGAAGACCCCTCAACTTGGCTGCCGTGGGTTTTGTTTATGACTGTATGGGTAGAGCTTGCGCAGATAGCATACCATAGTATGTGTTCCAATGGAAGTGCTAGGTGATTGAGTAGAATCGAGATGCGTAGGCTGCACTCGGCATGCTGATCTTAGTGACCCGCGGGTTTGTTGGCAAATCCGATAATCAAGAACCAAGGGAGGAAACAGGGTTGAAGCAACGTGTAAACAACGAGTATGGAAGGCCAGGTGAGAAGGAGAGGGAGTACCGCGGTCCTCGGATCAAGTCAGAGGCGCAGCAACGGAAGTTCGAAAGCAATATGCGCCGCATAATGGAGATGCATGGAAGCTATAGGCGCAAAGCTAGGGTATGAACCGTGCAAAAAGTATATAAGGAACGAAACATACAAAGTAGTGACCACAGTCGGAATGTCAAACAATGGTATAGGACAGGCTCGAAATGTAGTCTCAAGTAGGCTATGAAAATCCGTCAGCTTACGTTTGATTAACAATGCGACTGAGAAAGAGCAACATCCGATGATTTAATGAAGTTCGCAGTTAAGCGGAGCCACTGTGTGCATGTTCCCTGGTGGCGCTTCAGGGAATCCGGGCGAGAGAACCTCCTCTTACACCCGCAGCACTGCACCTCCTTAAGGCGCAAGTGGGTCCCTGTGAGGTGCTTTAGTAGGTTTTTAGCCTTGACAGCGTCTTGTAGTCTGCAGCCCGCCCACTTGCACTGAACAGAGTCGACAACATTGGCTGACGTGTGGTCTCTAGGCACATGGTGTCGCCTGAGATCCATAATCGCGAGACGGTCAAGAGGCCCCACATACGTACACCCCTCCCATCTACAGAAGAGTGATTTCCTCTGCGTTACTTTGCTTGCGTCCGATGACGTCCGCTGGATAGGTGGAGGTGGAGGGCCAGAAGGTGGTCCGGCGTTAGAGGAGCGGGTGAAGGACGGGCTGTGGGCGAATAGGGAAGGGGAATGAACATCGAAGCTGTGGCCAGCGGGTATTGGATCGAGGTCCGCAGTGCGTCCAGCTCCGGCATGGCAAGTAGGCGAATGATCAGACAGATACGGCAGCGTGCTAGAAGGGATAGTGCCGGATGCAGCGAACACACGCTGCTGGCCGTAGCGCGACGGATAACGTGGGGTACTTCCGGCATGGTAGAGCTCTGTGTGCTGCGGCTGAAGCGCACGCTGTTTGGTGCTCTGGTACGGTCCGACGGTGAGCGGGGATGTCGGCTGGAGGTCGAGAGACGACATTGAGGACATAGCACCGGGGAACATGGTGGGGTACAAGTAGGACGGTGTGCTTGGGTGATTCACAGATTGCAGTGGGGAAGCACGAAGGTATGGATCAATGGGCGTAGAGTGCGAAGACCAGATAGGGTCCATGGCTTCCTGTAAGTCTCCAGGCGGCAGGGAGATTTCAGGCTGGCCATGATAAGCCATTAAGCATTCATCGAAGGATGGTGTCGGGAAGCCTGGCTGCGCGCTCGAAACAGCGTTATGCTGATCGAGAGGATGAGAGATCGTGGAAGTGGGATCGATAGTGGAGGGATTCGCGCTGCTGATGCTGTCCAAGGGTATACCGCAGTTCATGTAATGCTTATGAGCAACAGGGGCGTGGTTTGCCGCAGTGAGATCATGGATGGAACTGAAGAACGCTTGCTCGCTGGTAGACTATGTGGGCAGGGGCTCAACTCACATACAGATGAACGTACCTTCTGTAATTGAGAGAATAATGCGCTGGGTTCACGGAATACATCATCGTGTCGAAGATAGCAAATACGGAGAACGATGAAGATAGTCAAGACGAGTTCGACGGGTGCGCGGAGGCAGTGAGACTGCTCTTGCGGTTTTGTGTTTATACTCCGACGCCACTGTTGATGCACGAGGAATACACATGAGTGGAACGCTGGTGTGCGCACGACGCCTACGGTACAACTCACGACAACAGCCATCATGGGCGGCGGTCCAGCATAGAGCCCGAGCAACACGAGGCAAGGGTCCCAGAGCCGCTTCACAGGCCTCCCAGCGAGATCTTGCGTGGTGGGATAGTCTAACAATAGACAGGGTCGCCCAGTGAGCGATCCACGTCCCGACAGCCGCTTTGCATTCATCCGCTGAGCACGAGAGGCTAAGATAGTGTTATCAGCTGAGTTTTACGCTCGCTTGACGACTTGCCTATTACGTCCCCTCCGCTGGTATGCCGCATGGGTGGCCCGTAATGCGTGAAAGTCGGGAGGCGCACAACCGAATCCATACATTGTTGATCGTGGGATATGCTTTGCAGATGCATGGCGAAGGAGCATGGCGGATTGGAGCGGTGTGTCTTCCGCACCTCAACGCCTCATTTGACCGATACGTTCCTGCCTAGTTTGAACTTGCACTCTACAGGACACTGTCAGGAGGTTGCTTCGTTCCCTCTGGTCACGCGGAATCGTCGAGATGCTGAACCGCAAAGCATAGGGGGTAGCAACACTGAAAGGAGAGTGTTTCTGCGTGCGGAATGGTCTTTTAGGCATATGGCCGCATGAAAACAAGGGATGAGAGTGCAGGGCGCGGTCAGACAAGTTTGGAGCGTCTCGAGAAAATGTACTAATCACTGCGCAGTTCGTGCATAGTAGCGCACGTCATTTGGATCCAGGGATTCGGTATGGAACTATGTTGGGCTTCGAGAAGGGAAGGCTATGAGCTGTGAGGCAATGCCAATAGTTTCGACAGTGGATGGCGGTGTCCCGGAGGTCCTACTTCGACAGCTTGCTCAGACTTGCGATGAGCCTCGTACAACATAATTATGAGATAGCTGTGTTGACCAGCGTCCATTTTCACCGCAGCATGTGAACGCTAAGGATAAAAATGGGGGAAGACCCTTAATTCTCGAAGGGGGATCCGGTTCTCCATATACATCGGCTAGCCTTCCAATCTGCAGATATATACGTTCCCGCCGCTGATTGGTTCGAAGCCTTGGCGAAAATTGGATGCCTTCCCGCAGGATCTGAACGGTTTGCATATGCGAACCGGGCCCTGAAACACGTGAAAGGTGCATTAGAGGCTATAGCTGGCCAGGTTGTTGTTGCGCAGTTAGACCCGTCATGTCGGACCATGCCGTCTGGCAGAAGAAAAGTCTGTAGCAGTAATAAACACAAAATTCTCAATCTTATGAATCGTTTCAGTTGAGCATTTTCGGCATCTTCCGGCGATTCAAAGATCACCGATCCACTCCCCGCCACAGTTTGCTCCGCCACCTAGCCATAGCCTTCCCCAGATAACGAGGCTCTTGTGCCTGCCACCACCAATGACGAGGCATATAATCTTCTTCATGTCGCCCTTGACGCGCGTTTTCTCCGCTGCACGGGAAGTGATGGTCTCTAGCGCCCTTCCTATCTTCCTTAGGATTATGCAAGGTTACACAGACTGAGACGAAGGAGCGGGGAGGTCGAATCGAGCCTCGGGAAAGGAAACAGACGTCGGAAACCCATATTTGACACCGCCAAGCGCTGCGTGACGGCGGGATCGAGAAGCCAATCGAAGTTACGTGATTTGTAACGAAGAGAGACATGAGACAGTAGGGTAGAAGAATATCGAATCCACCACAGGTACCTCGAGCACGGTGATGATTCACGTCGGCTGCAACGGCATATTAGTTTGGGCTGGGATGTCGCAATGGTGCTTTCCAGGAAGACTTACATCTGACAATTTATCCAAATTCGCGTGTGCATGTTCCCTGGTGGCGCTTCAGGGAATCCGGGCGAGAGAACCTCCTCCTACACACACAGCACTGCACCTCCTTGAAGCGCAAGTGGGTCCCTGTGAGGTGCTTTAGTAGGTTCTTAGCCTTGACAGCGTCTTGTAGTCTGCAGCCCGCCCACTTGCACTTGATCGAGTCGACAGGATTGGCTGACTTTCGCTTCGGTCGGCCTCTAGGCACCTGGTGTCGCCTGAGATGCTCCGTGATCGCGGAATAGTCAGCAGGCCCCGCATGCGTACACCCCTCCCATCGACAGAAAAACGGTCGCGTCTGCGTTACTCTGCTTGCGTACGACGACGTCTCCTGGATAGGTGCAGGCTGAGGGCCGGAGGGCGGTCCGGCGTTGGAAGGCATGGTAAAGGAAAGGTTGTGGGGGAATGGGGAAGAAGCATGAACATCGAAGTTGTAGCCAGCGGGTATGGGATCGAGGTCTGCAACGCGTGCGCTTACGGCACGGTGAGCGGGCGTATGGTGAGATGGATACGGCAGCGCGCTCGAAGGAATGGTGCTGAATGCAAGGAACGCACGCTGCTGGCCGTAGCGCGACGGATGACGTGGGATACTTCTGGTATGGTAGCGCTCTGCGTGCGGCTGCTGAAGCGCACGCTGGTCAGTGCCCTGGTAAGGTCCGACGGTGGGCGAGGATGTCGGCTGGAAGACGAGAGATGGCGTCAAGGACATGGCATCGGGGAACATGGTGGACGACGGTATGCTTGGGTAATTCGTGAAGTGTGGTGGGAGAACAGGAAAGTATGGATTAGTGGTTGTACAGTACGAGGGCCAGGTAGCATTCGTGGCTTGCCGCGTATCCTCGGGCTGCGGCGCGACTAAAGGCTGTCCGCAATAAGTCGTTAAGTATCCGTCGTTAGATAGTAACGGATACCCTGACTGTGCGCTTGAAACGGCGTTATGCTGATCGAGAGAATGAGAGAGCGCGAAAGTGGGGTCGGCAGCGAAAGGCTCTGCACCACTGATGTTGCCTAAGGGTATGTTACAGTTCATGTAATGCTCGCGGGTGGCAGTGGCGTAATCCGCAGGAGTGAACACCGTAGTAGATATTTTCTGGCTGGCAATAAATGAGCAAAGGATCAGCTCGCGTATAGATGGGCATACTTGTCGTAGTCCAGGGTGTAATGCGTTGGGTTCATGGAAGAATTCATCGTCATGAATATAACGAAAAGGCGAATACTGCCGAAGATAGACGAGACGGGCTCGATAGGTGCGAGGAGAAGATACGGGACGCCCTTGACACTAGCGGCTTTGTATACACTTCAACGCCACCATTGATACACGAGGAATGTGCACGAGGAAAACGTGAATGCGCACACGCACCTGCGACATGTCCCATAACAGCCATCCCGGGACATAACTCAACACAGAGCTCGGGCAACGCGAGGCAGAGTATCAGAGTTGCCACCAAGACATGCCAGCGAGATCCTGCGTGAGGTCTGATGACGGGATCGTCCAGCGACGTTCCGTCAGCCATGCATCTATCCACTGCGCAGTGGAACTCAAACCGTGTTATCAGCTGACAAATGTGCGTGTAAATAAATACTCGCACATTACGTCCTCCTCTGCCGATTAAGGAAAGAAAGCGGCCCTAAGTCGCATGGGTGGCCCAGGGTGCGTGAAAGTGGTGAGGGGGGGAATGTACACATTTTTGATAGTTGTGTGTGCTCTGCAGATGCACGGTGAAGGGGCATGATAGGGAGGAGCGGCGTGTTCTTGTGGACCACGTTGGGCTGAAGCATCCTTGCCTCTGTATCTAACTGCCCGTAAGGCGCATATTTGAAATATGAGCTGGCGCAATGTAGAAAATGAGGGCTTACAGCGCGTAGCACTGTTCCGGGGGCGTACCTGCCGTCTGTAAACAGGTGGTTGAGGGAGGACAGGCACGATGAGAATGGTCTTGGAGGGGATTGTTCAGAGAAGGTGTGCACGTCAGCACACAGGTTCGGGCGTCCGGGCTCGATAGTGCTTGAAGCCCTAAATCAGACGGAGAGGAAGGCGATGTCACGGTGACATGAGGCGGTGTTCAACGGCAGAGTCTGCCTAATGGATAGTGCCTTCTTCGACGGCTTGCTCAGACTTGCGACGAGCCTCACTGCAGATTCGAACACAACCGCGATATGGCTGTGCTTACCTGTGGCCGTGCGCGTAGACGCTCAGGGAAGAAATGGCAGGAAGACCCTTGATACTCAGAGAGGGATCCGATGGTCGGAGGCTCGGTTCTCCGCATGCACCGGCTACTAGACTTCAACCTGTAGAGGGATCAAATCTCTATGCTCACAGGAACGGAGGCATTGCAAAAGAAGCCTCGAGTATATCCAAACGTAAAATAGCTCCTCTGCCGTGGTATTAGGTGCGGTAAGCGGGCAGCAGTAACAAATCTCAAATCCTCAATGTCATGAATACTTGAACATCTTCGGCATCTTCCGGCGATCAGAGGCCACCGATCTACTCACCGCCACAGTCCGCTTCGCCACCTTCCCCACGCATCGAGGCTCTCCCGTCTGCCACTACTGACAACAAGGGATACAAGCTTCTCCATGTCGTCCTCGACGCGCGTTTTTTCCGCTGTACGGGAAGTGATAGCTCCTGGTGCCTATCTTCCCATCCTCAATGCTGTACTTTGGGGCGGGGAGTCGAGCACGAATCATCAACATTGAAAAAGGAGCGGTGTCATCTTCTGTGAATGCAGGGAGCGCCTTTTTGCATGAGGACCCTGCCGATGCTAACAATGTGCTACAGATCTGTCAGGAATACGCGCGTTGAACGGCTGACTTCACTGACCGTCTCTCACGATGTCGTGATTGTCTATGAGTATTCTGCGCCTCTTACGTGATATGTCAGGACTAGATCAATTGGGGCGCATGTTGTCCGACAGTTGGTCAGACCACCAGATTCCAGCTCTATCAATATTATAACCAGGCGGCAGGCTGCTCACGTACCCACTTCCCTTGCCATGCATGTTCTGTTCTAGGTGTGCGTCTCTCCCTCATATAATTTCTCCGGCCGGTTGCAATGAACCAACTTCATACACAAAGCCTCATGTTAGGCGAGACAAGTCATAGCATCGCTAGCGAAGCATTTGAACAGTGATGCTTATAGCCCGTTCATTTAACGCTCACAGTGCATATCGCCTTGTGAATCCCTCATCTCGGAATTCCGTGGAAGACGGGTCTCTGTAGAGCAGGTATTGTACGTTGTACAGGATTTCGTGAATCTCAATCACGTTCTTTGATGCAGGGACCATTACACATTTCCGACATTGCGAAGACAGCCTTGTCCCAATTGATGACTCCTAAGTCACGTCTCTTACCAACTCGGTAAAATTATTTCTCGATCTAATGAAGCAATCATCTCTCAAGATACAGGTGTCGACAGCACGTTATCGTTATTGATCAATCCTACAGTCAGCTCGGGGTAGTAGTCCTTCCGAATCATGCAGCTGCCTAATCAGTCCCGCCATTACTATTTGCCAAATTCTCCGTGGAAAGGTCGAGTGAGACGCGGCCTTTGGGGCAGACGGGGCGGTGGCGCACCAGTGAGTCCGGGCGGCTGAAAACCACCTGGCATTTGTTGCATGTCACCTCACTTGTCCGCAGGTGTGTCGCCGCGATTTGTTTGGCCAAATTTCCGCCCAAGATTCTCTTCGCACATCCCGTCCAAGCGCAGTCGATTTCGCGGGCCCCGCCGCCATTGGGCGCTCCGCGCGAACAGTCAATGTCGTGCACGTGCTGGAAGTGAGCCCTGACATCGGAGATAGAGACAGAGACGAAGGTATGGCCACACCCGTCCCATAAGCAGCGCCTTCGCGGCTGTATAATCTTGGCGGAGGCTGTATACGAGGAGCTCGGCGTCAGGAGTGAACTTTCGACATGGTCGGTGGATGCCGCGGTGTTATCGGCAACGGGCTGCATCATCCTCAGATGATTATCATAGAGCTCGGATTCCGCTACTTGAGTAAGCATGAAAGAACTGTGGACGTCGAGTTGATCAAGAGTGGGATGACGACTAATGGTTTGCATACCGATGTCATAACGGTTCTCGATTGTAGATGGCAAAAACACCTGGCGGGGCACACCGTGTGTGCTGGTCTCGCCATGAGATGATGGTGTATACAGGGGGATCGCGAAAGCGTTCGAGACCGATGCGGGAACACTGTATGGCTGCGTAGCGTTGCCCGTCACAGACAAACACATGGTAAGGTGCAAAGGATGCGGCGAGTTGTCGATGAGCGCCAAGACCTGTGGTGCGTCCGATGAAGTAGACTGCCCAACGGAAAGGAGTAGCGTCCTGAGATGTGGAACTGTCCTTGGCGCGATTGGTATGTGAAATACATGGCAGCCAGCAACCGGTTGCCACATTTCTCATTCCGCCATCTGTTGAAGTGCTTGTCCTTGTCCGTTGTATAAAAGAGCTGTAGATGTGATCATTGAGAGAACAGAAATGGCCAGAGATATCAGCAACATGTACCCTCATTGCTAGGAGCGAGGCCCGAAGCCACAGGTACTGGTATGTCATTCACGTTCAGAGGTTGCGACGGAGTCAAGAACACCGGCCAGTCGCTTAGCCGTGTTGCGGCGTCGTCCTGGATATTGGAGTAGACCGGCATAGCCCTCCTTGCCATCTAAGCAACGCATTGAGCCGGGACTAGTAGTACCTACCTAGTCGTTACACAATACGAAGGGAAGAGGAGTAGCAAAGGCTGGGGAGATGCGCAGAATGTGACGAGGTGTATAAAACATAGCAAGTCCAGCTACTTCGGAATCCGTATATGGCATTCTGTGCCACTGCAAAGGGGGAAGGTCGCCGTCATCAGTTCTTTTATCCCTACTTTCATTAATACAGGGTCAGGCGCAATCAGCCTGAGCAGTGGTGTCAGCAGCCTAGATTCTTGACATTGATGATCCGATGCGACGGGCTTTGAACCCGCTGCACCTCGTCGATGATCCTGGGATACCCATATGAGCCCGGACATCACCGGAGCCCGTACCCTTTGATGGAATGCAAGCGCACGGGGTGTGTTTGTTTCGTACCTAGCCGGTTTCGTCTTGCACCCCGCCACCGCGCTAGTCGCGGGACGAAATCGGCTGACGACGAGACAAGAGGTGTGTCATGTGTCCCCGGAGTGCCACAGAAGCACATCGCGGAGAGAAATACACATAGCCACTGGCACAAAAGGCTCCACCGGGACCAACAACCTGAATTTCGTCAGGACTAGGAGTATCATAGTGATAGCCCAAGTCACGCGGTACTAGTGTCGTTTAGGGCGCGGCTCGAGCACAAAGCCTTACTTTGGGCTGAGCTTTTGGCGACTCCGGCTTGGCCTAAGGCCTGGTTACGGTTCGACAGAGCTCTTCGCACGGTGGATGACCGAGCGCACCACAACGCTGTGTCTTTCTCCTGCGGCGGTACTTCTCAGCAGGCTAGGACAGGTCGCCAAAGCGTGCAGGCTCACGCACAAGTACGGCTGGAGCCAGCGTGGCTGTTCGCTTTCGCGACTGGCCCAACCAAAGCGCGTCAATGTGGAGCTCTTATGAAGGAGATACAGAGGTTTCCTGCTGCTGCTGAGCTGATTTTCCCATCAGCGCTGTCAATTAGCGCGAAGGTCAGCGACAATAGTGTGGCGGCGGCCAACAAGGTGCATATAAGCGATAGGTTAGTCGGAGCCCCGGGACGTAGCCCTGCTCAGGCTTGGCGCGAGCCCTCCAAGAGGGTTTCCGATTCCGAGGGCTGGGCTATATTTGTCTATACGCGTTTACGACATGCTTCGATAGTGTCATATCGATTGCATGTACGTGAACCGAGGTCAGGGTCGGGCATGAAGACGGAGAGCTATGCTGCTAATAGTGTGTATCGTATTGGGAATCGATGACCATTGCTGTGTTATCGATCAAGATACTGCGCTGATAGAATGGTCTCAGGCTGTTACTTACCAAGGGTCTACCCGTACCTCAACTACTGTTTCGAATGTAATAATGGGCAACCCATAGGACATGTGATAGTTTGTCCGAGACATGAAGTGAGAACGATCAACGAACATATATCGCATTTGTCTGAGCTTTATTGTTACAATGGTCTATACTCCTATATCGATGCCTGACTCGTAGGCAACGAGCAAGGGCTTATGGACAGTGCGTCGTCCTGAAGATCGAGCGAGGAAGTCAAGAATGACCACTACCCCAAGCGAAGAGGAGCAGAGACTTGAATGAATAACCAGGTCAAACTTAGGGTTCGACCGACTAATGGTACAACTATTTATACAAGTACCGGCTACACACAGACCATCGTGTCTGTGTGGTCGTGTTTAGTAAAGAAAGAAACGTAGTGGCACAATACCGGGTACGAAGTGCGCACGGACCCCAATATGTAAGCTACATAATGTTCAACCTGCGGGTGAGCGCTAAGACAGGCGCCAGTATGGGCGCTAGTAATACAAGGAATAGAACGGAAAGACAAATGTTTCATTACCCCCCTGCCAGAGTCGAAGTCCCATTCGACTACTTACTGCTCACCATCTCCATACAACTCCCAGTCTACGCCGTCGTCCTCCTCTTCGTCGAACCACTCGTTGCGCGCGTTTCTCCCCAAGTTCTTCCATTCCTTGTCAGAGAGGTGCTTTTGACGCGGCCAGGAGCTGTCCCATGTCCATTGAGTGGTGTCGGGTGTCCAGTCGGGATCGACTTTACGAAAGACGATGGGTGTATCGGGGCGGGGGCACGAGGGTCCTGTGACGGGGCTGGCCGGGGGTTCGGGGTTAGCGCTATGCAGTGGAGGGATGGGTACTGCCTGAAACATTTGTCTTTCCGTTCTATTCCTTGTACTACTAGCGCCCATACTGGCGCCTGTCTTAGCGCTCACCCGCAGGTTGAACATTATGTAGCTTACATAATGGGGTCTGTGCGCACTTCGTACTCGGCATCGTACCACTACATTTCTTTCTTCACTAACATGACCACATAGACACGATGGTCCGTGCGCAGTCAGTACTTGTATAAGTAGTTGTACCATTAGTCAGTCGAACCCTAAGTTCGACCTGGTTATTCATTCAAGTCTCTGCTCCTCCTCGCTTGGGGTAGTGGTCATTCTCGACTTCCTTGCTCGATCTTCAGGACGACACACTGTCCATAAGCCCTCGCTCGTCGTCTACGAGTCAGGCATCAACATAGGAGTATAGACCGTTGTATCAAAAGGTCGAACTTTCTAAGCTACATTCCTAGTTTTACCTAGTTGAACATCTCATCCACCATCACGTCGAACAACGCAGTCAACCCAGTTCCTTTGGGACTACCAGCCCTCGCAGGATCACCGCTCCTCCAGTATGACCGAGCAGATCGCTGCTTCGTCACCTCCACAAAAAGAGCTCCCAT